ACTGCATAAATACACAATATACATGTGGTGTATGTGTATGTATACAACACACACACACACACACACACACACACACACACACACACACACATATATATATGAAAAGAGAGAAAGTCTTCCAGACACAAGGTTAGTACTTTGTTCTTTCTGCTTCTTTTCATCTCTCTTTTCAGTCTGTCATTGTGTTTTTCCAAACATGATATGTTACTGTTATTAGAGAGACAAAACAATGCTTATTCTTGTTTGGCTCATTTGTGTTGTCTTCCTTGAACTGAAAAATGGCCAATGCTGCCCACACAATCTAAAGATGTATGAACTTGCAAGGCATAATATATTGGGTATATACCAATTTGGCCGGCTTCTCACATCTTTCATGCATTTTCCACCATACAGCAGCTTCGTGACTTAAGCCAAAGCTTTATGTACTCTGATCTATATCAAAGGTTTTTATTCATTGATAACATGAAATATAGTGTATATAGAAGGTTTCCTTATCATTCAGATAATTTTTATTTATGAAATTTATATGCTGCCCATCTTACCTGGATGCTGCATCTAACAAACATTGTTGTCAAAATTAAATGTAACATGTAAATGATACTGAGAAAGAATAACAAGGTGTCATTCCTGGTAGATTCTGACACCTAAGTTAATCATCCTTAAATTAGTTTTTAATAAACTATTTCTATATATTAAAAACAGGTTGAAGATAACAGTTTTGAGCTTTTTTTCAGCCCTACAGTTCAAAAGGAGTTAATATGATAGCCATTTTCACCTTGCCCTCATTTGATCAACATTTCATATGAAGAGAAGAAAATTTATAAATTCCTTTTCCAACCAAAATATCTAGTTCCAGATAGGCAACTTCAATGCCTGCACATTCCAATTCAGCAGTTAGCATTTTGATAAAAAGAATTCATCATACAATTTTTTTCCCACCTGCAAAAGCCCTTGACGAGATGCTGACATAGGATGCCATGAATGAAAAAGGATGCTGAGATTGATATCAGTTTGAGAAAGATCCCTCAGGTTATTTCTCCCTTGCAATGAAAGAGAATCCATGTAAGGCTGTCTTTCTATCTCTTTGTACTGATTTATTTAATCCAGATTAATCAAAACAAAACTCTCTGAAAGTTGAAGTTATAGGATATAATCTCCTTTTTTTTGTTACCAAGAGCACTGAATGTGAATATTCTCAAAGCTATTGTGCTAAATGGCTACTGGAAACGGTATTTCATTGGTATCACAGAGTTCTGACTGTAATCCTGTAATACGAATTGGTTTGCCTTTTTCCAGCATTTTGCTATTTAAATTCTGGCCTTGCCATTTGATTCAAGGTGATCAGAGCGTATAACAATAGCATAGATTGCTCTGATAGCTTTGAAAATACAGATTGCTGGGAAAAAAAGGACTGAAATAGTGTGATCCCACGATAAGCAGCAATCACATTCTGATAATGGCTTCTTATCACATTTCAGACTGAAGAGGTTAGAAATATTGCTTTCTCATATTTTACAGGAAAGTAAAGGGTAATTTTATTTTTCTGTTTTATTCTTGTCAAAATATCTCATTGGAATGATAAATTGTCAAAAGTGAGATTACACTGAAAGAAGAGAGAACTATTGACCTTAACCGATACATTTTTAGAAAAATCTTTGTATTTCATAATGATACTTTTTTCTTCCACAAATTTGGAGGAAATTGGAAGATATCTGCACCCATCACCAACTCATCTTTTACAGATGAGGTATTTAGTACAGAAAAGATTACAAATCGAGTCCAAAATATATGTTGCTAAATGATACATTTGTTAGTGATTTTACAATTTTTCTTGCCACATTTGTTAAGTGAATTACTGCAGTTGTTAAGCTAGTAACACAGTTGTTAAGTGAATCTGGTTTCCCCATTGACCTTACTTGTCAGGAGGTTGCAAAAGGTGATCATATGATCCAAGACACTGCAACTGTCATAAATATGAGTCAGTTGACAAGTGTCTGAATTTTTACCATATGCCATGGGGATGCTGTAATGGTCATAAGTGTGAAAAATGGTCATAAGTCACTTTTTTCAGTGCCATTTTAACTTTGGTCACTAAACAAACTGTTGTAAGTCGAGGACTACTTTTATTTAGGCATGCCATGTTCATTGCTGAATGAATCAAATTCAGCAGCCCAGTAACTGGATTGTTAAAGGACCTTTTCCACTAATGTTCTAATGGAATAGCACCCGAATCAGGAAACCGAAAGGATTTTGATATGAGCAGCATATGGTGTTATGTAAGGCAATGAGAATTACTAGTGTTTCTCCAGAACCTACCCCAGAAATAAGCCCTAGCTTGATTTTTGGGAATGGGCCCAATATAAGCCCTATCCCCAACATAAGCCTTAATTTTGGGGCAAGGCACCTAAAAATCAAGATAAGGCAGGGGTGTGGAGCTTACCATTGCAGCCAGGCCTCCCATATATCAACACTTGCCTCACCGACCCACTTCCTGTGCAACCAAAGGAGCAGCTGAGAATAGAGCTCCAGCCTGCGTTTCATAGTCAGAGGCCTTTCCAGAAGGCCTCTGCAGCCGAGAACCGAGCTATGGATTCAATCCGTAACTCGGTTCTTGGCTACAGAGGCCTTCTAGAAAGGCCTGACTTGTGAAATGCAGGCTAGAGCTCTATTTCCAATGCAGAATGAAGCTGCTCCTTTGGCCACAGAAGAAGTGGGCTGTCTGGGTGGGGCAGTTGGTGCGGCCACCATGAGATGAGTAGAAAAGACACCCCTGACAATAAGAACTTGTGCCTTTTGGAAGGGAAAGAAAAAATAAGACAGGGGAAAACATGGTATATTGTACTGCCATAGTGTTTTCAATTGGTAATCCTTTCATTTTAGGATGTAAAATGATCTCTTATTTTCACCATTGGCAAAAAGGAAATATACTTTCAGTTGACCTTATTTTATTTTAATTATTTAATTATAATCATTTGGATGCTGCTTACTCTTTGCAATCAATTATTAAGTGACTTATAGTAATAATCAAGATCTGAAATTCAAGTTGAAAGATAAGGGTATAAACCAAGTGTACTAATCCCGGTGGTTAAAAAAATTGGCAGTTGGAAAATCACCACATTCAGTGCTTGGATCTGCACATGTACTACGCCAACACATTATGAAATCTAGATTCTTGAGAAGAACTTAATCTGAGAGTAGAAACTATTCCAAATTGAGGTAGCAAGTTGAGGTGATTCTCCTGGCCCCCACCAGTTTCCTTCTTCTGGAAGTTGGGACTTTGATGGCGGATAAGCAGATTCCACCATCATGTGGTTCCACATATACTAAAAAGATCAATGAAACTGGTTAACAGGTTGCCATGTGAATAGAAGTGCTTATCCATCCTACTCCACATATTTTCTACCTATGTTTTACCTCAGCACTGAAATAGCTGTGGATTCTGGGTCCTTATTTGGAGGGGAAAAAGTAAACAAGCAGAACAGAGTTCTGGATACATTAATTTTTTTAAATTACAATTTGTTTAGTATTTTTCTAATTCCTGCTTTGTATTAGAGCACAGATGCAAGATTTTATTGCAAAATACTGTATAGTAATTCAAAAAAGATAAAATTGCAAACAAGGAAACAGTGCAAATATATTGGCTTAATAATTTGTTTAGAAAATGTTATGCTTAGTATATTTTTAAAGAACTAAGAAAATATTAATAAAGATAACATTCTGCCCATCACTGGACTCGACCCAAAATCTTTAAGGGAATTGAAGCTCAGCAACAGCTGGAGAACTGCTGATTCTCCACTGCCCTAGTCCTTGACTCCTAATTGTCAAACCCTTTTAACTTCCTCAAAGCGAAGTCTTCAATAATGTGACTATTTTTCATATTTGTTCTATTACACCAATTCTTTAACAGTGAGACAATCAGTTGCAATCTTTATGTCATAAGGTCCTTGACAAATTCAACCTCAGTTTTGTGAATTATTCCACAGATACCATGCTATAGTTAATTCAGATTCCACTATTACATTATATTTAATTTGACATTTAAGATGATAATTATCATTAATACTGTAAACCTAAAAAAAAAACCTGCATAAAATGATAACTAAGGGGATGGAACAATTCTCTGAGAAAGACTTACATTAGTTGGGCCATTTTATTTTGGACAAACAGTGATGTGGTAGTATATAAATGTTCATAGTTTACAGAAAATGCATATGATATTCTAGCAAGATAAATAAAATGCTTATTTGTATAGTTATAAAACTAGTCAACTAATTATAATATCCTCATGTTAAATTACTTCAAAAAGGAATTACATTAAGTTTATCTAAGGATAAAACTCTTAATGACTAGTAGCCACAGTGGTACCATATGATCTTTATAGTTTGAGTTGCAATATGCAGTTGTTTTGGCCACTATGGGAACAATTTCCAGGTGTGATTCAAGGTATGCTTATTACCAAATCCTACATGGCATAGAATCTTGTTATTTGAGTCATCTAGCAGGCAATACGAATTGACAGGATTGGCATGCTTTAATTCTCAATTAAATAGTATCATTTTTTGGGATAGGACTTTTCTCATGACATCTGTCCTCTGGAATGAAATTATCCCTTTAATCAGACAGAAGCTCTTTCCGCAGACTTGGACTAGGGCAGGGGTGTCAAACTTCTGGCCTGTAGGATGCGTTATGCCGAAACTGTGCCCATCCCATTGCCGGCAATGGAAAAAAAGTCATGCGACACGTCACTTGACGTTGCAAGTTTGACACCCCTGGACTAGGGTAAATAGAGACCCTATGAGTTTTGTTGTTAGTCAAAATCTCCATCTTGATCATCATCTCCTTACTGTATTTGTTTTGTAGTATTTTTTTTGTTTTTGTTATTCTGTGAGCTGCCCAGAATAATTTTAAGTTGAGTAGCACTGAAACTGAATAAGTCAAATTAAATTAGACATGCTCTTTTTATGGTAAGTCAGTATCACAGGAAAATATAACTTTAAAAATTGATTTTAATTTTTATTTTGCAACATAACAAAACATTTAATAATATTTTCATTTTGGAACAAGTTTTTGATGGAAACAATTTCCAACTTGTACAAAATATATAAATAATGCAATAAGGCTGCATTCCTACATACATATAATTGCAAATATATTCATTATGTTCAGTTGGGCTTACTTCTGCACTTAGTAACATATGAAGAGATACATGTAATACGAGTAAGGCTTATCTTAACCATCACAGTACCAATTAAAAGTGCTAATGTCATCATATAGATTTTAAGAATGACAATTATAATATCTAATTAAAAATGCTGTAATTAACACTTAGCTAATTTCATTAGCTCCACTTCACAGTAAAACAAGTACTATTCAAAATACAGCTAGGAATGTTACTTACACTTATGTGTACCTTTTTTATCTAAAATCTAGGTCTATTGTGTATTTCAAGACCTTGATTATTAGGGCTATTTAGACTTTCATTGACAAGTTTTTTCCCCCTAAGTAAACAGTTCCTTGGAACTGGCCAAAATGCTTCAAAGTTGGACAGCATCAATGAATGTGGTGGAATTCAGCACATTCTGATTCTATCCATCCTGGAAGAGCTTTGGTGCACCCCAGGAAGACCTCTGGTAGGTTGCTTTGGTGTGTCAGCAGTATTTAATGAAAGTGTCCAGCTTGGAAGACACTACAGGCTCTGCAGGAGAAGCCTATGAGGGCCTGCAAAGCAAAATAATGCAAAACAGTAAATCTTAGAAAAGCAGCAGCTATGTTGCTTCATGAAGGATGCTTTATCTGAACATTCATTGAAACTAAGGCATTCAAATATTTAATTATATGGTTATTGTTAAAAGCCTAATTAACATTATATGCAGAGCTTGTCTGCATATAATATTTACCTTCTTATCAAGTCACATAGAAACAGCTGTGATGTAATATTCAGAACTGAAAATCGGGCTCCCACACCAATTCACTGTAGCTCGTAGAAGGCAGGCAAGGCAACACTAATGTCATTATATAATAACAATATGTACAGTTTTACTAGCTGTTGTCAAGAAAATGTGGTTAATACCTTTGAATTATCTCGTTAGCATGTGCATGCAATTATCCAGATTTTTAGCATGACCAGGCAGCTCAAAGCTTCACAGTAGGTAGTGATGGCAATGGCCTGATTTAGAAGAGTAGTTAAACTCATCTGCTTTTCTCCGAATGAAGTGAAATCTGTTAATTCCCTATTGCAGGGGTGTCAAGCTCGCAACGCCATGTGACGTGTCATGACATATCGTGACTTTTTTGCCATTGCCGGCAATGGGGTGGGTGTGGTTTCACTATGATGCATCCGGCCCATGGGCCGGCAGTTTGACACCCCTGCCCTATTGCATTGACTCCTGTTTCTAGTAGGCAGTAGTTACAGGATTATGTCTGTATGCAAGTACATTTATTTATCTGAACAATTTATATGGCTCCCCATCTCGCAGCAATGATTGGCAACATACAAATGTGCAACAATTTAAAATTTTAATTATCTGATTAAAAATGCTGTAATGGCAGCATTATATGCACATAGACATTTCACATTATATGGATCAACTTTTTAAATAATGCCCACTCTGGCTACTAAATATTCCCTCATGATGTTGCTAGGAAAATAATGAATTAAGGCTTGTAAAATTGAAAAGAATGCTTTTATGCTGAATTTTCCTAAATCACTGCATTGGAAATATTGTATAAATGGACCCAGATACCACAAATAACCTCTGAATAGTTATTTTCAGCCATGCTTTATATAAATCCAGTTACCTTTAGTTTCATGTGATTAATAGCTATTTTAATTCAATCATGCTCACTACACACTATCACTAACTAACCCATTCAATCTATCTTGTTAATGAAGAAACATGAAACAGTAAAAAGTCCCCTGTGATTCAAATAGTGTACAGATCAGGATTAAAGTGTTCTCAACCTTAAACGCCAGTGCTCTTTAAATCAGAGTTAAATGGCAAGTATAAAAACATACACTACTAATCTGTGATATGCTTTGTATGATATACAGAGAGTGATGAGATTTCAAATGTTAAAATGAATTCTCAGTCTTATGCATTTATATCACACCCAGAACTGATTACCTAATTTACAGGAAGTATTTACAGATCCAGGTGTAAAATTATTTCTCTTGAAAACTTATAAGGATTACTGGGCTTTTTCCTTTCCTTTTCACCCCTTCTTCACTGCTCCAAATGTACCATTAAGCAGCGTAACTGAGATTGTTGTGATCCAAGTAAAAACTTTGTTTCACAATACTGCTTCAATACAGCACTACTAATGGACTGATTTTTCTAGTTAAACAAGCTTCCTATTGTCAGGTGTGAAGGTGCAGAGCTTCTATTCTAGTGCAAATTTGAAATTTGAAAAATATGAAATGCAATAATAGCCTAACAAAAAGCACATTCTGCTAAATATTGTAGACAAGTTTAAAGATCAAATATGCCTGCCATGTTTTAATGTACTCTTTATTAATACAGGATCATACAAGTAAGTGTATTTCATAGGGCTTGGAAGCAGAATGTATTAAAGCCGTTTTATATTGGTTCATTCTTACCAACACAGATTCAAATGATGCCCTTATGGAATGGCTAATTAGGATGAATACAGCTATAGTAATCTCTCTCTGCTTTAAAGACCAAGTACATTCTGATACCTAGATTTATACCATATCAATTTATTTTATAATAATCCAACACAGCAGATGGTTTTGACAACCAAAAAGGGACAGTTTATAGTTAGAATTTATCTCTGAAGTATCTAATCAAATACAAACAATGAAATGAAAGAACTAATACAAAGGTCTGGTATTAAAAAGCGAAAAAATAAAGGTTTATTAAGCAGCTATTAAAGTAAAACTAAATGGAATCTGGTTTTATTTTATTATAGCCACTATTTAGATAGCTTTAAAGGAGATAAAACAAATTCTTGGAAAATTAAATGACCAGAAATCACTTTCTGTGATGCTGACAAGTTAACTCCAGAAGCAGAAGCAGCAGCAGGATGCTTCTAAATAATAGGACTGGAGAGTACTACATTCCTCAGGATTTGGGCCGTCCATTGAGAGAAACAGGATGAGGAACTAGATAGGTATTTTTTACATTTTTATTGAAAAGCACAACCGATTCCTTAAAATTTCATACATGACGTTTCCCTAATTCCCTAGTTTACAATATTTCTTTTACTATTAAACACAAGTTGAAGTGTATGGACAAAATCTACAAGAGTTTGTCTAAGGTTTATCTCAGTTGGGAATAAAACAGCAGGGTCAGTTAGGTTTGGGGATTACAAAATGGCCTTACAGTATTGTGTACAACTTTGAATAACTTTATGTATATTTTTAACCTGTGATTAGTCTTCAGGATCGTTTGAGAAACCTTCCGAGTTTTATGCAACTTGTTTAACTTTGGGGCAAGAGAATTTTTTTGCATATGCACATTTCACAATGAAACATCAGTATAGCTGTATGTTGACTGCCATTAGTAGTTTGGATCAGCAGTGTATTTACTCACTTTGGTAAACCAATAAAGTTAAACGAGACGCCATGGTTTCAAAGAATGATGGAATACAAATGTGGAACTTGTACCATTAAAGTTTTTTTCAGTATCATTTGTATAACTTCAGGGGACACGTGGAGGCAATTTTAAATCATGAGGAGCAGAAAAATGTTGGACTGAGCCTAGTTCACAAATTTTAAACCATGCTTGAAGATAAATATCCAGTTGCTGAAAGCTTTTACAAACACAGTTGTTAGTCAAAGACAAATATAGCATTGCTTAATACCAAAATGTGTCTCTACCAACGTTAAAACAAAATACAAGATATTCTTTAGTTATATTTCTATTGTGACAAGATAGTTTTTTTAAAAAAAAAACCTTCTTTGTTGCTGAAGTATTATTGCACCAATGACTTATCCCACGAGATATCACAACTTCTAGTTGTCTTCTACAAAGTTCTCATTCTTTAATCCCTTCCGTCTGTTGTTCAAGTTCACTCAACAGATTTTTGCCCGATACTCCTGCTTTTGTGGCAAACAAAATAGCAGCCTGCTTAAATCCTAGAGACTTCAGACTTCTGGCATAATCGGCAAATATTGCATGGATTAACTTCTGTGAAAGGCAGGTTAAGGAATATAGAAATGAGCAATCAGGTATCAGATTTCTGTATTACAATGGTTAAAGCTGGCACCATGTTTAATCCTGCTGTTAGATCTGAAAATATTTAACACCGAAATGTCTCCAGTTTAACACACTGCCTGTTATCACTTAGATACTATAGACATAAAGGTTATCCTTTTTGTTTTTGTCTTAGACTGAAAAAAAAAAAGATTTACAGGGCTTCCGGTTCTGCACAGCTAGCGCACCAGCCGAGGGATTGAGACGATCCGATCCCTACAGCTGATTTCTCTCTGTTTGGGGACCCTAAATGGGTCCAAAGCCACCCCGGAGAGGTGGCAAGGAAGGAGGGAAGTCCCGCCGATCCTGGGGAGACGGTGGTCCAAAAACAAAAGAAAGGCTAGCGTCATTCGTGAGTCTAGCCCAAGATACATGCAGCTGAAGCCAAAAAGTACTAAACTAAGCATGATTGTAAACAGTGTGACTGAACTGGGTAAGAACATTGATTTTCTCTCTTCTACCTGACTGATTTCCTGAGAAAAAAAGAAAAAAACCCAGAAGTAAAAATCCTCCGAAAGTGAGGTGGTGTCTTTGTTCCACTCTCCTCTAAACAGAAGCGGCGAATTAAGTTTACGGGGGAAAAATTGAAAGTTGGACTGGCGCTGACATCTAGTGATGGATGAAAATACTGGCCTAAATATACAGCCCAGAAAGACAAGCCTGTTGTCATGACCTTCAGCGTGTTGATTAAACCAAGAGCAGCTATTACAAAAGAAATGAAAACATTGTGGACTATCTACAAAGTGAGAACTACAAAACTTAGGAAAAATTGACTTTCCTGGATTATAAATATTTTTTAAATTGCAACTTTAAAGTGATTGGCAGAGAAAGGCCCTTTGGTCATTATGAAGCATCAGAGATCTGTAGAAAGAACATATCAAGAAAAAATAATGACCAGAGGAAATATTTGTTCTGTTACAACAAATGCAAGTGATATTAACTTCAAGGAAAGTTAAAATTAAAGGAAATTAAAGGAATTTGAAAATTTAAATGAATGCATTCTCAATTTAACATCACAACAATCAAATGATCAGAAAACAAAAAAGAGAGAGATCATGTAAAGCAGACAACTGAATATAAGCTAGTGGAGAACTCAAATGGAGAAGGACTTACAAGAAACATTGAACATCTAACATCACAAAGTAAATTTGAGGATAAGGAAAAAGATTTAACAAAATGGACTGCTAAGTTGTTGGGAGTAACACAAGAAATGAGGAGACAAGGGATGATGAGAGAAATCTTCAATGAATATGAAGGGGCAAAATCTTTTTACAAAGACATGCCGTTTGATTTGCCTACTATATCCACAACAACATTTATCAGATTATGGAAAGACTCTTTGATGTAATGGGATATATTGATTGGAAGAGATGCTGGGATAAAGTGAGAATTGAGGAATTAGATGGAGTGTATCAGAGGGAATATTTAAAAATTAAACACTTGTTTGAATATGGCTGAAGAAATTGAAAGATTTTAGTTTAAGAAGGATGAACTCTCTAAGTAAGGCAATATCTTTTTTTCTTTTGTTTTTCGATATGAGAACTATAAAAATGTGTGGGATGGTTAACATAAAGGATGGTTTAGATATTTAAATGTAACTAATTTTAAGAAAATTCCAATGGATAACTAAAAATGGGAAAAATGTTTTGAATAGAGTTAGAAGATTAGATGATTGGATTTATTAAATGGAACATTTAAAGATTAAACATAGGTTTAATTATGGGTAAAAAGAATAGAAAGAATTTGGAAATAAGCGTATACTAGTTCAAGAGGGATACATATTTTAAGTAATATATTATTTTCTTTTTTTCCTCGTTTCTCTTTTTTCTTTCTCTTTTTCTTTTTCTCTCTCACGTCTTTTCTTTTTCTATGTCTTTCCTTTGTGTCTTTTTCTTCTTTTTTAAGATACGAAAATAGATTTAAATACTCTTAAGGTAATTAAATCTGGGAAAATTTTAACCAGTAGAAATATTTTGAACATTACAGGGAAAATAAATTTAAATAAGAATTGTAAACAGGATTTGTGACAAAGCAACCAAGATGACCATATAGAAAAGAAGCATGATATTCATGAGATTATTATTGGTAGAAATTTTAGAAAAACCTTTATATTTAATTGTTACCTATCAAATTAATAAGAATTGTATTAATTTAGATTGCAAAGAGAATATTATTGAAAGAAGAGAAAATCAAGCAAAGTTATTATGTGGATTTCGGAATAACCGAAATTAACCATTAGTGATTACTTTGTAAATATAAACCCAGACAACATGCTGTTTACCAAATATCAATAAAATATATTTTAAAAATGTTTTAAAAAGGTTTACAGGCACAACACCTAATAAGGAATGTCACTATTAGTAGATTTCTATGCTTGAATTTGTGCATAATTTTAAAAAAGGATATTTGCATCTTCATTAACTTCAATAGTACCATACTTAAGACAGGCCTCAAGAAACAGTGCAGCTCGATCAAAATGCCTCATGCTGTTGAAAACAAGAATAAATTATTGTGGAATAACACAAAAATTTTGTTAGACAAATTTTTTTTTCACTATGCAGAAAGACTTTTTTAGATATATACAACAGACACAACGGTATCTTTGATGCAAAATTACAATACTAGCAACTTATTCTACTTAATGATGTAACAATTATTTTTATTGTATAGCAACATAAACAAGGTATCACTTTTGATATTGTAACCAAACACTTAATGTCATACACTGAATTCACTCAGACTAATTCACAGATAGTTGGGTATCCTAAATCAGATTCTTTATATATATATATTTGAATTAACAAACAGGCATCTTTATTCAGGCAGAACTTTTAAATGACTTCTGCTTTGACTTTCAAGAGGTTGTATCTAGTTGATATTGTATTTTTATTGTTTTTTTTTAAAAAAATACTAAGTATACAGAGAAGTAGCTCATGTTTTTAAGTAAACAGAATACATGAACTGACCTATGTAACATCTCAGCCACTCTCATGAAACAACCCAAAGAAAGTAGAACAAGGATTGCCTTGGATTTTTGATTGATTTGTGGGGAACAAAGGTGATCCACCCAACGCTTCAAAACATCAGCACATTCTTCTGCATTAAGGCGAACCTATAAAAAATTCAAAATATTTGAATACATTCTAGAAGCCAAGTCACGTGTGCCAGTAAGATACATAAATGTAACAAATTTTAATTTACATCACTTGCTTTAAATTAGTTTCTCATTATTTAGAGAATAATGAGAAACAGTCTGAATTGTTTTTAAAAATAACATTGATAAATATCCACCAGCACTCTTGCTTATTCACGGTTTATGGCTATTTGTAAACACTTCCTTGAGTACATCAGCTACTATTTTTCTCAGCTTTTTAATTAGTTATTATACATGTCACTATTTCTTAAAAAGAAGCAAAGCATATAGGATAAGAACCACATTGATAAACATCCTACCTTTGCAAGCCACGCTGCTCGATTCCATTCACCATAGGTTTGTAAGTAACGACAGGCATCAGCAGCTTTATCTATTAAACACAGTAACTGGACACCCTCTGGGGGGGAGGAAGTATCAAATCTTAATGAGTCACAGTTCAAATTTAAAAAAAAAAGTTATCACATCTTTTCCAGTTATGCTTTTGTAGAGCATAAAGTACCAACAGCTTTCTAATTTATAACCTTCTGATTCAATTTTAGTATATTCATAACCATTTAATACTATTTTGGTCTTCAAACACATGAATTTCAAAGCAGAATTCATTTAGTCACAGTCTTTGGCTGTTGACAGTATTTGCCTCTATTTCACGTCCATTCTTTTTAATGCACTAATAAAACAAAGACCTGTATAAATAAGATCATGTGTATCAGTCTTTATCTGAGGAAGGATAAAGGCCTCCACCGCACATTAGACTAAATTTAACTAAATATAAAGAGAGAATTGATAATGTACAATTGTTCCTATATACATAAAGCCATATAGGTAATGTAATGAAATGTAATGCATGTGTCCCTTTTTGCCACTTGTACTTTAAAAGGATAATGTGAGGTCTAGCATTTCCCTCTTAGCTAAATAATAACATGCTGCATTTATTTTAATAGCTGTATGCTTAAATGTTTCAGGCGTTCTTCTGTGAGCTCAATATGGAGAATGGAAATTATACCTGCCAGCTTTCCATTTGCAATCATGTTTGTTGCTACCAATTTAATAGTACTTTGGGAAGGGCCGGAGGAAGTAACTGTGGTGACAAGGCATGCCTTAAGTGAATCACAATAATAATAAGGGTTCTCGGCACTGGTTTCCAAAAGCAACTGCACAGCTCTGTCAGTCTGGAAAGAGGACAAAGGTAACTGTAAGAATGTAATAATTTATATCAGCAATACTGCTTAATTTTCTCCTATATTTCTAATAAAACACATGTATCAAAGAAAATTAAATCAACATGAAAAGCCAAAATTGGCAACACAAACCTGGCCCAAAAGTAAGAGTTGATCTGTACATTTCCTTGTGTGATCATAATTTGATCTTTTAACTTCTTGAATATTGACTCTTTCAAGCTGGAATTTCTGCAGGAATCATAGAAAAATTACATTTTTTGATAAAGGATAAAATCAATAGTAAATTGGCATTGAGGCGTAGAATAGAAGCTGCATCAACTTACGCTGATGCTTCAGTACCATACTCATGTATGTAAGAAAAAAATGTGGCCATAAAAATGTATGAAAAGCTTTTGAGAAATGTTAAAATGCAAAAGTTAAAGAAAATAAAGTTAAAAGAAAGTGGGAAGCAAATGGAACAAACTTGGTGTCAGAATTAAGCAAATGGTAACAGAGGCACAAAAGGAATTAGGAGAAAGAATGAATGAAACATTAAATGAACACTTACAAGGCCCCAAGGTTTTGTCCAGGATTATGACTGTGGGTACAAGTAGACTATGCCTATGATAAAAATGCTGCTAAGAGTAAGCTTTTCTTAATAGTCAATAGTATAAGAATCCAATTATGCTGTCTCCTTTTGCTATGAAGAAAAATGAAGACGTCTGCTTGTCACTGAATTGAAATAACTGTTTACTTCTTACATGTTAGTAAGCAGAAATCACGATGGAAAAGCTCTATATAATATTCTGAAATTCATCATAGCCAAACTAATTAGGATAATGATTTTGTATAAAAAATGTAATTGAGTTTCAGGTTGTAGGATAGTGTTATTATAAGTATAAAATTTCCTCTGCTTCTTCCAGACAGAACTGCTGTAAATTCAATGAATTCCGCACTGTATAAATTGTAATAAGCAAGTATTAACATATACGCAAATATGTGAGTTCTACCCAATTAAAAAATAACCATTATGTTTGTACCTCTGAAAGCTTCAACTGAAATGAGAAGAAGCTTGTGGAAACTGTTAAAGAATATTTTGTGGTTTTGAATGGACTTACTATTTTAAAAATCAAGCAATACCTGGAAATAGGAATTTTCACAGAGAACATCGTAACATATATCTAGCGGACTGATCCAGTTTTCTTGAGAAACAAGTACATCTTCTGCCTTTACGATTAATGATTTGTTACAGGAATAAGTATGCAAATAATGGGCGGCAACAGTCCAAAAGTGTAGTTCAGATTCATCTCCATACAGCCTGAGAAAAAAATCTAAATTAATGGTTCAGATTTAAAGTCAATGAGTGCATTCACACCTCCTGTGAAACCAGGATGCACTCTCAGATATATTTTATTTCTTTACATTTATTTACAGACTTTCTATTCTAAGGAACCTAATGTATTATTTTAATACATTAAAATAAAATATGAAAATCAGAAAAAATACTAAAATTATCATTGATATAATATAAAAGGCTTGACTGAAGAGAATGCTCTAAAGCAGGGGTGTCAAACTGCCGGCCCACGGGCCAGATGCGTCTTGTAGTAGCCGCATCCACCCCAGTTCCGGCAAGGGAAAAAGTCATGATACATGGCAACAGGTCACGTGACACAGCGAGTTTGACACCCAGGCTCTAAATTATTTTCCTGAAAGCAGGAAGATTCAGAACTAAATATAACTCTTGGTGGTATATTCCACAGCTGGAATAACTTAAAGCTACAACTCCCATCACCTTTGAGTATTTAACATGTGGAGATGGAGTTAAGGAAGCTGTAAGAAATAAAAGCTGGAAACTAAGGTCTATGTCCACTTTTCTCCTTCTAGGAGGTCAAAGAGAAGAATCAGGAAGGATCTGACTAGTGACAGTTTGTCATGGTGCCCAAATTTAAATTATGAAACTCTGAATAATTCTAAAGCAAAATAAAATCAATCAAAACTTCTGACTTTTTTTGTCCTTGCTTCATTTGGACAGTAAACTTATAACTTCCAAGATTCTCAGCATATTGTCCAAAATGTTCACCATGCTATCTGGGAAATTCTGGGAATAGAAATCCATACATCTGGAAACTTGGGAAACACTCTACTAAAATATTATTTCTAATGTTATACATTATGAAATACAATCACACTTGGACACATTATTCTAAACTCTGTTCCCCATTTAACTATCTCAGTATACAAGATAGGGTAGAGTTCACCCAACATGCAAGATCTTAAATCCAGTTTAAGAAAATACATTTGTTACACGGAATCAATATACTCTACTTCTCTCCAAATAAGCCATCACATGGTTCATTCCCAAAGTGTTTTTTTCACAAGACAACTGGACTTTGGTGGTTGTTGTTTTCCTTGGAGACGTTTCGCTTCTCATCCAAGAAGCTTCTTCAGCTCTTCAGGTCAGAGCTGAAGAAGCTTCTTGGATGAGAAGCTAAATGTCTCCAAGGGGAAAAAAAAACAGTCCAACTGCCTTTTGAAACAGCCCTTTTGGGATAAACCATGATCTGGATGACTGAGAATCTCCACAGATAACTTATGGTTTAGTTTTATGGATAGGTTTACATTGGATGATAACACTGCATTTCCACGACATACTGTTTCAAAAACCTGTACAATTAATCAAGCATTTTGCAGAAATCCAGCCAAGGAACTTCACAGATATCAAAATAGCAGTATCCCATAAATCAGGGGTCCCAAACCCCCAGTACATGGACTGGTACAAGGCCACGGCATGCCAGCAACTGGTCTGCACAAACAATCAAAGCCCCATGCACAGAATGCAGGCAGCATATAAAACCAGGCACCCTCTAGTCTGTGGAAAAGTCTTTCTCCACATAACTGGTCCCTGGTGCCCAAAAGGTTGGGGACCTCTGCCATAAATGTTATACATTTGCCTATCCATCTGCAACAGTAAAAAATACTGGATTGTTAACCAATGTTATATTATCTCAGAATGAATAGGCTAAATGGGAAGCATTTCTTGCATAATAGTTATTGCACTTAATTTTACAATGGTTAGGGTAAATAATTATAACTAAACAAACCAATATATGACCCTAATGAAATTTTCCTTACTTTTTTAATTTCTGTACAAAAATTAATGCAGCAGTTATACATAAATAATGTACCAATTCTGAAACAGAAAATATCCAGGCTTAGCACTATATAAGAGCTATTTCTAAAATAAACTTTTGGAGATTATTTAGGAAATGTTATATTACCTTGAAACCAATAAGCATCGCTGCAAAAGAGTGAACTCTGGATCAAGCAAAAGTTTCTTGACATCACTGTAAAGAATTAAACCATTTCAGGCATATATTATGAGTCCCTCCCCTTATACCAAAGATAGTTTTGAAAAGAACAAAAACAAACAGATGTTTGCTGAGAAGCAAACTATTCTCATTCATTTTAACAGAATGAAAACAATAAATAAAAAATACAACTGAACTGTACCTTACTAACTTTACATGATAGTAAAGATATAGGTATTGTACTACTCTACCAAGCCTCTTGCACCTTAAAAATTTCTGTGCAAAAAGGAATTTATTTTTCCATATCCTAGGCATAGCTATAAACATTAAATACACATAGATACACAATTATACACACTGTTCAACTAATGTTTTATTAGTTTTATGAAATGGATAACTATCATTATGGAAGAACCCCTATCAACTCTGTAACCATAGAATAATTTGGCCCAGTTGGCTTGAAAGAATAGTATACAGCGAAATGTTTACATATTGTAAAGAGTCTTGACTTTTCTACTAGAATATTTTTCTAGTCTTTTATTAGCAATAGAAAGACAAGAATTTTATGTTCAATATCCTGAAATTCATCAATATTAATTAGCAACATTTTTTGCTAAAAGCACAAACCCATAGTACATTAATTTCATCCAAGTCTTGCCTTAACAAATGTTATCAAATTCTCCTTAGATATGATTATATAATGGCTCCACAGATATTCCAGTATTTTAAAATATTATTATAAATATGTTACATATCTGCTGAACAAAATGGGAAATAATACAGCAATCACATCAATATGATTCCATGTATTAATATCTATCCAAGAAAAACTGATATTGGGAATCAAGAAAGCTACTTTAATAAATATGTCAAATTACTGAATCAGACTATTAAAAAATAAAAAACTAATGCAGCTTGGTAGTATAATAAAAGCAAGCAAAGACACTTTTATTAGTCCATTTTGAAAATATAATATAATAAACTCAAATATGCTTACTTGGACAATGAATATAACTGCTCTTGCAACATATTTTTAATATTTTCATTCTCTGGATAATTTCTGTAAAACAAATGAACAAAGATTTAAGAGTCAAATATTGATTGCTTATGTCACATCAAGTTGTTTCATCTCCTAATGATCACAGAAATCAAGTACTGACAATCTGAAATTAAATTTACATGCTGTTTCTAAGTTCAATTTGGATCAAGCTCAAAAGGAGAACCTTTATCTTTATATAAAAAGGTAAAGGTTTCCTCTATCAGTCGTGTCTGAATCTAGGGGGAATTGCTCATCTCCGATTCACAGCCGATGTCAGAATCCAATTATATTTCATTTCTAGTTATCGACTATGGAAAACCCCATTTCTGCCCTCTCTGGATTCTGTCATACTACGAAGGGGAAGGGGGGGTGAGCAAGGGGTTTTATGGCTCTCACTTCCTTCATTAAAACTTCAAAGGGACTGAATGTGGATCTCACCAAGAGGACTGACCATAACAATATGGCTATCAGCTTTCATCTACTACTCTCTGAAGTCTCCCTTGTGCTGGCCGTGAGGAAAAGGGGGTGGAAATGTAACGCTTGGGATTGTCGCTGAAAGGACAGTGGGGTGGGGGCTGCTTGGGAACACTTAAAACCTTGAACACTTAAAACTCTTAGGGGTTGGCCCCTCAGATCCTGTATAGAACGCCTGCAACCATCTTCTCTTAATAAAGATGCCTGTTGGAAGAAATATTCCAAGAGTTTCTTAAGAGGTAAAGTGGGTGGGTCCTTACAGCCAAAGAGCCAGCGTTATCTAAAGATGTTTCTGTAGTTATGTGACTGACACAACAATACAATGAAGGCACAAAGAACACTGTAACCTTCCCACAAAAGTGGTACTTTTTTATCTACTTGCATTTACATGCTAGGCTGGAGCTGGGGCAGGTAACAGAAACTCACTTCGTCATGTAGTACTTAGATCTTAAACTGCCCAGTGTCTTAACCGATCCGCCGCTGAACCCAATCCTTATATACACGTTACTATTTTCTAAAATAGCCTCCATACTAAAAGTAAGTCTTACATGTATGATATATCCAAAGAATACTTATTATCCCAAGGCTGGTGAAGTAAGAAAGCTTTTAAAGCTAAGGATGCTCTTGGAGGAAGAAGATATGGACACCATATGGGTTCTAGAAATAAAAATAAGAAAAAATAACTAAGATCAATATGAAAATCAATCTGATGATAAAGCTAACATTTATTCTACCCTTGACTAATAACTACTTTTACCTATTTTTTTTTTTTTTTTGAAAAATGAAACACAAAACATATTGCCATAGCAAGATCAAATGATTACAGCAGCGGTTCCTGGGGAATTCTGGGAGTTGAAGTCTGCAAGTTTTAAAGTTGCAAAGGTTGGACAAACCTGGATTAGCGCAAATGAGTAACTTCTTACAATTTGTGTGTACTTCTTAGCTATTCAGAATAAGAAAGACAAAAATGGCAACTAAGGGCAAGTAATATTCATTGAACATCTTAAAAACTGAAAATACTTTTGCTTTATTGTTTGGAGGGAAGAGATTTCTTCTTAATAGTATTCCCTCAGGATAAGGGTTTGGCATTATGTTTAGATTTTAGAACTGATTTTCCTTTATAGACATTCATATAGAAATAGTTTTATAGAAATGTTACTTGTACAAGCTTCTCGGAGCCATAACAAAAATACGATACATGAAGAGGTTTAGCTATCAGAATCTGTTTAACGGCCTTTAGAAGAAATTTATATAAAAGCTTCTTTTTAGTGGTTAAGCTCCTAAATAATTCTTACCGTTGAAAGTCTGTAAATGTTGAAGGTATCTGAATTTTGCTAATAGGAAAGAAGACTAGACATGATCACAGACCTTTTAGCACATACGGTACATTATTTTATGTGGTATGGATCAATTCATTTTTCAGATATCCCTAAAGAACAGGGAGATCTGAAGGTTGTAAAAAAATTCCAGCCCAAGTTTCAACTCCTGAGTGATCCAGACGGATTGGTATAGCTGTGCAAATAATTGGACTGATTATTATTGGAAATGTTTGGCTTAAAAACATTTCTGTTTGTATCACAATGGAGATTCCTATAGTTAGTTAGACAGATAGTCCTCAGCTTACAACCACAATTGAGCCCAAAATTTCTGTTGTTAAGTGAGCCATTTGTTAAGCGAGATTTGCCCCATTTTATGACTTTTCTTGCCACAGTTATTAAGTGAATCACTGAAGTTATTAAGTTAGTAACCCGGTTGTTAAATGAACTTGGCTTCCCCATTGACTTTGCTTGTGAGAAGGTCACAGAAGATGATCACATGATCCAGGGACACTCCAACCATCATAAATATGAACTAGTTGCATCTGAATTTTGATCACATGATCATGGGGATGCTGCAAAGGTCGTAACTGTAAAAACTGTCGTAAGTCACATGTAACTTTGAATAGTCACTAAACAAACTGTTGTAAGTTGAAGATTACCTGTATAAATACCAAGTTGGGATTAAAGTATTTCAAATTTTCCCACTGAGGATTATATAAAATATTTCAATATTCAGAAGACAATTTTAAATTTCAAGTAGGTTTTGAGGGTCTTTTTTTTATCTAGATCTAGATCTAGACTCTCATGGCTTATCTATTTCTGTTTGTTTGTTTAAATCAGTACAGCATATTTAATTGCATAGACCTTTTCTGTTCCATTATTATTGACTGAGATTAGAAGGGATGATGTGGAAGATGTTGGGAAAAGAAATGGTTACTAAACACATAATTAGGACTGAAAAGCCAATGCGGGTTATGTTTAGTTGCTGCATTTGTACTGACAGAAAAATACTGCCTGCCAGGTATGCAAATTATTGCTTTCAAAAATTCTATTATTAGGAATAAAGCATTTGCAAACAGCATGAATCTATATTTCACAGCAGTTAAACAAAGGTGGGAGTATGTTATTCATGCAGGAGCACAAAGTAACGTGAAAGTGGAAACAATTGTTTCCTACATGGGTTTTAACAAATTTGAAAAAAACAATTTACAGATCATCTCCCTGGGCAATTTTTCTGCAGCTACGTTCATGTCTCAGTCAGCATGGAATGCCAACTCACTCTTGTGAACATGGGGTGAAAATCAAGGGGAAAAGGGTGGTTTCTTTTCAGAGATCCTATTGTTTTCTATAATTACTCTTTCAATTTTTGCTCCATCAAAACACAGAAGACTAGAATAAATAAGATACAAATGCCTCTGAAAGCAGATAATAACATTTAGAAGAGCCGAGGTGGCGCAGCAGTTAGAGTGCAGTACTGCAGGCCACTTTAGCTGACTGTGTTCAGAAGGTCAGCGGTTCAAATCTTACCGGCTCAAGGTTGACTCAGCCTTCCATCCTTCCGAGGTAGGTAAAATGAGGACCCAGATTGTTGGGGGCAATGTAAATATATATACATTGCTTACTGGTGTACACCGCTTAGAGAGTGCTCGCACTTAAAGCGGTATATAAGTCTCATAAATAAATAAATAAATAAATAAATAAATAAATAAATTTGGTTGGAAAGCAAATTATCAGAAATATTCCAATGGAAAATTCTGAGTGGATCTGTTTTCAGAGCGTGAAATAAAATGTTTTCTTTTTAGGGCACCCTACTATTTTAGGTAAGCAGTTAGTGCTGTAACAAAATTCTAGACAGATGTGAAGTAGGTTATATATCTAAAAGCCATTGGATTTCCTCTCCTATTCTTTTCAGCAATAAAGATAAAAGTCAATCATACAGTCATATGGTAAAGCAGTGCTAGAGATTTTACCACATGGAAGGGGAAAATCCTTCCTACATAGATAATATAATATTTCACAAAAAATATCTTGCATTAAATGAAAACATTTAGTATTACTCACTTTATATGAGCAAGCCTATGAACAATAGATGTAATTTATGTATTCAACACTGATAACCAAATGGCTTAGTAAAAAGCAGAAAGCAATATTTTAGATTTAGAGACTGCAAGTAAAATTTTTGCAGAAATTATAAATCACATTACCTTTCTATACTAAACAGAAAACTAGACTTTATTTTAAAGTGGGACATTATATAGACTTTTGTAATTTGCATATAATATAAGAATAAAAAAATGAATATGACTTCATTGATAAAAATATTATAATTAGAAGTAAAAAGAATAAAAATGTTTTATACACTCTAGTATAAAGTATATGTTGAACGTAATGGATGTGAAAGAAGTTATTTTCTGTGTATATGCATAAGGAGTTTTCCCCTAAATTTCAGTTTCATTTTTGTAAAGTGTTTAGATCTTTTTTTATTGAACAACACATTAATTGTACATTCACATTCAAATTAAATTGAAAAGCAAATGTTCACATGTTAGGGAATGATAATTCCTTGCTTTTGTTAAATAAAAAAAATGTGATCTTTGGGTCTTCCTCAAAGATTCAGGCAAACCATTTGATTGTAACCGTAAATCCAGTTGTTGTTGGGTTTTTCCTGTGACTAGTATATTACGCACAATGACTTATGACTTTATTAATTGCCCAGCCAAACCACAATCCATATGGGGTTGCATTGAATTACACAAGATTTTCTAGCCTTTTTTTCCTACTGCAAAACTTATGGATTCTGCAGAATAGCATGCAGAAGTAGTATTGCAAAGAATGCAACCAGCATAGAGAGAATTGTGACTCAGAAAGAGCTGAACTACCACCTGCGGCATCCATTATCGTTATCAGTCATGCTGCTGGGGATGCTGAGAACAGCAATATAGCAGTATCAGGCAGAATGTGAGTTTCCCCACGAGTTCAGGGAAAGAAAAAAGATCAAGAGTATATACAGCATGATTTTCCATTTGCAAATTGGGATTTTTGGATCCAATTCAACATATGAATATATAATATAAATGATTTTTTTTTGCAGTCAATATTTTGTGAGCAAGAATTAGAAACAAATAAACTCTTTGAAATGATGACTTATTTACTTGTGAGCCTAGGGACTGACTAAAAGACCTCCCTCGCCTACACTAAAAGTAGAGTTTAAAAACCAGGCTTAACTTCTTTGCTTTTTGACAATTCATTTACTCTATGTCTAAAATTCTGAGTTTTCTTTTCAATTTCTCATTGTTCTTATAGTGTAGGTCAGTGATGGTGAACCTTTTAGAGACCGAGTGCTCAAAAACTGGTCCCGCCCCCACTCCACCCCCTGCCCCGCCCCGTTCCATCCCCATCCCCGCCCTGCCTCTCCAGGGCCCGCCCCAGATCGCCCAGGCAGCCCAGCAGCGCTATGGCGATCACGCCCTCTGCCCGCGCCCTGCAATATCAACTGTGCACGATGGGGTGTGAGGGCAGAGTCTTGTCTATGCTGCCTGGCTGCCATGTCCTTGGCTGCACTGCTCCGTGTGGGCCACGCTAAGGGGCTACTCTCATTCAGGGGGGCTGCTGGAGAGGAGGGGGTCACGGGGGAGGCGAGGCTGGGACGGCACATGTGTCCACAGAGAGGGCTCTGGGTGCTGCTTCTGGTACCCGTGCCATAGGTTCGCCACCACTGGTGTAGGTTAAAAATCACCCCAGTTCTTACACCTACAATTTGAAATTTATGCCATATCTATAAATAAAATATCTGTGGCCTCATTGCAATGCTGGCTGAAACATTCCTGTTTTACTACAGCAATACTGTAACAATGGAATTCCACCTCCCCCAAAAGGAGGGGGTAGGAGATAGACTGGACCTTTATGTTACCTGATAATTCTTGTTCATCCATTCTAAAGCATGCAGGCTTCATTGTCATTTCCAGCACTCTGATACAACCATCATCTGAAGCTAAGATCACTTTATCTGATGTACACCAGTCAACATCAACTACACGGAAATTGACATTTCTTCCACTTCTTAAGCTGCTTACCATCTGGATCTAAAGGATATAGCAAATATTAGCTTTAAAATGATTATTGGGGGAAATTGGGTTCTTTTCATGTACAGCCATTTACCATTACTGTAAATATAAACCTAAAATAATTTCGTGGATTACTAGTATTAATTTCTGCTTTATAATTTAGGGAAATATATGTCATCTCTACCACTGAGCTTACCTTTTAAAGACCACTACTATTTCCTGAACTAAAAAAAAAAATCACAAAAGAAAATCTTGTTTTATTTCAAATGGTGATGTGGTTATTCCATTTATTACCTTTTTAAAACGCATATTTAATCAATATTATTGGGTGGGTGTTCTTCCCTTTTATAACAAATTCCCATTTTAAAAAATGCAATTTTGAATAAAATGCAGTCATCTTAAGTATCAAAATATATTTGAAAAATATTAAATAATTTTAATTGCAAAAATAGAATAGAATCGGGATACGCTATGCCAAAACTAAGGCAAAGCTCTTTAAGTGGGGAATGGCTGAAGAGCTTGCAATGAGACTATAGTGGTCTGGAACTAATTAATGCATGTAGTTCAAGAATTTCTCCTCAGGAAATTTCAAGAAACCTGGGATGATGTCATCACAGCCACACCAGAAGTATTAGATATTGAATTATAATCTATCCCATTGCAATTCTATGGTTCTATATTAGTTTAAAGTCAGCAAATACATATATTGCATGACCTCTGCAGATGCCGTATGCTAAATAAATAAAATATTGTAAAAATGTCCTCTATTTTTGTGATTGATTTATTTCATTGGTATATTTTGCAGGAGTTCAAAAAAGCTTACATTGATTCATTTTATTTTTCTTCCCAATAACCCTTTAATTGCAGACTGAACTTGGGTCTCTAGCTCTTCATCCACTGGAAAAATGCTATAATAATCTGAATATTAGTATACTATCCCTAATTTGATTTCTATATGTAATCAAGAGGTTTACTGAATTAAAGAAGGCCTTAATTATCTAAGTGATATCTATGTCTATCAGTTAATTAAAAATTAACTTTATTATTTGATACCTTACCTCCTTTGTATCCCAAACTTCAGCCCCATCATTGTATATTGCTATCAGCTTTTGGTTTCCTTTCCCAGGAGCAAAGCGTATCTTCCTCACCCAGCCTCGGTGGGTGGGGATGCCCCTGGCAGAATATGAACAAAGAAAAGATGGAAAAACGGCTTATATCTGGGATAGGCAATTCATTTTCTCAAGAAACTGGGACTGTTGTGGAGGCTGTCGTCTATTCCCACCCCCACTCCACCACAGTTGGAGGCCAGACAGGGATACCAAAATGATGGATATGGCCCACAAGCTATAAAATGCCCAGGCTTTTATAAACCTAACCATCTAGACGGGCATAATTAATTAAAAATTATCCCACTGACTTTGCTTGTCAGGGCTGGCTGGGAATGTTGCAAATGATGATGATGTGACCCTAGAACGCTGCAACTGTCATAAATATATGCCAGTTAGCAAGCACCCAAATTTTGTTCACACAAATGTGGGGATGCCTTGATGGTTATAAGTGGGAAGATTGGTCATTAGGATTTTTTTTCAGTGCCGTTGTAACTTTGAATGAACAATAAACAAATAGCTGTAAGTCGAGGAGACCTGTACTATGTAGATCACCATCAAGAAGTCAGTCACAAGATACAAATCATTCATTACCTGGAAACCCTAGCTTTTAAATCCCAGAAGTTCAAATTGCCATCAACATCTCCCAGAACTAAGGTATCACCTTTCCATGCAATGCATGTAATACTGCCCATATTTCCCTACACAAATTTAAAAAGCAAAGATTAAAAATCAGCTAAGTAGTAATTTGAAATATACATAAACCTAGGTGAGGCAATTGCCTCTTATACACCCCAACTCCATCACTAATTAAACATATAAGTCAGTTGGATAATCATTTAATAACATTGATTTAACCTCAACAATGGAATTTTAATCCTTCTATTAATATACATATTAACCAGAGGGAATGTAGGGGCAAGCAAGTGCACTTTTAAGAGTAGCATGAGGCAGTAATTTAAGTTAAACACTATTTATGAATTTCAGATGCATTTGATACAACACAAATACATGCTAGAGCAGGGGGCTGGACATGTCTTGTGGAAGCCGCGCCTACCCCATTGCTGGCAATGGCAAAACTGTCCCGATACATTGCGCAAGGTCACGTGACGTCGCGAGTTTGAGATGTCTGTGCTAGAGAACTGTAGTGAGATTCTAAAGGTAAAGCTTTCCCTGTCCACTTGCATCCAACTCTAAGCACGGTACTCATCTTTGTTTCTTGGCTGAGAGAGCTAGTGTGGTCAGAAGACATTTTCCGTGGTCATGTGGCCAGCATGGCTATACGCCATAGGTACATGGAAAGCTGTATCTTCCCATCAAAGTGATACCTATTAATCTACTCGCATGCTTTCAAATTGCTAAGTGGGAAGGAGCTGGAGCAGAAACAGGAGCTCACCCTGTTGCACGGCGCTTGGGTCTCAAAGCTCAGCATCTTTAACTGCTAAGCAACTGCACTCAGTGAGATTCTACCAACTTGAAACTGACAAAAAAAAGTGTAACTGTTGTAATAATGTGGCAAATGTACTGCACAGTCTCAGGTTGCCCAACGATGCAACCTTTCTGGATTACTTAGAACAAAATTCAGATTTACTTTCAAGATCTTGCAACTGGCTTTGGAACAGCACTCTTTAACATAATGGGCAAACTAAAGCAAATTCGTGGAAGGCTGAATTATTTGTATGTCAAAAATGAGATATTGCAGAACTTTCCTTCATTTTTTCATTTCATCAGTAGATAGAAAAACGATAAAGAAAATAGAAACTTTCATTATATCGACTATCTATAACTGTTGAAAACAGACATTCAGTGATGAACTTACATCAGGAGGAATTCTCGCACTGTCTTTGACAGAGTTCCCTTCCACTGTCAAGTGATAAACTTGTCCATCAGTATCTGTAAAAACAAAGTGCTCCCGAGCAGAAATGTTCTGACTTAATTCGGATTTACTCTCTGCTTCCTGCAACAAGCTTTAAAAGAGAAAGCAGTGAGTGTTTCAGTCTACATCTATATGTGTATGTGTGCATATGCACAAATGCTTAAAACATACATCACAAAAAAGTAATCCTGTATTAAGAATTTACCATAAATAAATATTATGACATAATACTATTGCTGTAGGCCACCTAGCACTATTTTGTGTAAGATAGGCAACCATATTTATTTGAAAGAAATAAGTAAAAATATATCAAATACAATCTGTAATATTTTTTTAAAGTGGATTGATAAAATTGTATTTCAATATTAAATTATCCCCTTATATGAAATAGACAAATAATATATTTTACTGCATAACACATTTTAACATTTAATTCTTTCTGTTGCTATCCAAATGCTGCAACATTATCAAGTTGATAGCTGATTTAAATTACAATCCAGCTAAATTTTTTATTTTCATAGTCTAGAACAGGTGTAGGCAACCTTAGCTCTTTTATGACTCATGGACTTCAACTCCCAGAATTCCTGAGCCAGCATGTCTCAGCTTGGAAACCTCTCCCTTTCCCCTCAGTGTGGCTGGCTCAGGAATTCTGGGAGTTGAAGTCCAAGAGTCATAAAAGAGCCATGGTTGCCTACCCCTGGTCTAGAACTAGTGACAGAAATGCTAATGGGGAATAATCTTGGGCAGATGATCTTTCTAAGAAATATTTAATATGAATTTTCACTTAGATTAGTATTGATACCTGATCATTGAAGACTCCAGACTGCTCTGTTCTGTATCTGATACCACTGTTTGCCGCGCCATTGCCTCACGGGCTGCAAGCTGCTTCTTTCTTAAACTCTTCAGATTATGAGAAGGGGACCATTCCTAAGAGAAGAAAACCCAGAACTTTCCACATATAAGGATTTATCACTAGAAATTTCACTCAAATGTATTTGTAGAAAAAAATGAATAATACACAAGTTACTACTGTAGTTTTTCTATTAATCTGAATTTAAAAAGGGAAATAATATATGGATTTATCTAAATGGATTTTAAGAATTCTTCAAGCAAACTTCATGCAAGAACAGCTAGATAAAATTTGTATCTTACCAAAGCAGTAATTGTAGGGAAGTTTTTAGACATTTCTCTGAGAAGAGTACATGTCCTGATATCCCATAATTCCAAAGGTTTATCTTTGAATACAACTGCCAAATACTGCCTAAAATTGGGGAAAAAACGGAGGTAAAAAATACATAAGAAAATTTCATAGCAAATATGACTGTACTTCATCTTGTTTTATTTACTATCCTAGAATATCTATTTAATGGTTTTACAGAGCTCCTTATATAAATAATTTTAATAAGGTCTGATTTGGAGCTGTCCAGATTTAATTTTAAGTTGATTATAAGATAAGTAAGATTAATAATTTATCAAACCATATTGCTCCTTATGACAGTGCTGGCAAAGGCCTAGAGAAGCTTAAATTTACTTCTTTAAAGAGATGAAATTAACAATAACATAGCGTTTATGAAAAACAATTTATGAACCTTCCATCTAATGTTAACATGGGAAATAAAACAAGATATAGATTTGTGGATCAATTCTAGTATTACTTTGAAATACAATATTTTTAGTGTCATATTATTGCAGAAAGCAATAGAAAATGGTTCTAAAAAAGGGGGGAAAGGACTTCCGGTGGTGACGGCCGTGGCGATGGCGGCTTTCTTCAGCCGTCCGCCCTGGGATGTGTCAAAGCCAGCTGAGACAGAGAGCAACAGCTGGTTTGGAACCTCTCTCCCCGGGTGAAGGGGAGGAGGTGAGCTTTCCTCAGATAGTGGTAGAGCTCCCTGAGACCCCAAAGTTTTCTTTTTTTGGTGGTCAGAGGGTGAGAACTCCCACGGAGTCTGGGGTGTTCTCCACATTCCAGGATGTCTTTGCCCTGATTTCTTAAAAATAAAATGGCTTCAAAGAGTCTCGGAGCTTCTGTTGCTTCTAAAGCCTCGATCTTCCCAGTAATGCAGATAGCTCAGCAAGCTAAGTCTAAGTTTCCACCACCTTCTCCATTGTCTTCAGCATGTATACTTAAAGATTTACAGGATGCCTTGGAAAAAAAGGCACAACATATTAAAGAAGAGATGGAGGTTTTTATTGAAAATAAATGCATGAAACTGAGAGAGGATTTAGCGTTTGCGTTTCAAAAGTTTGTTGGTCACATAGATCTTCTGGATGAGCGTATTGATGATGTTGTGGAAAATTTTGAAAAACTGGAAGATCGAATTGACAAAGTGGAAAACAACGTGGAAATAATACAGGATGAAATTACTATGTTACAATACAGAAACATGGAATTTGCTTTAAGAATAAGGGGAATGAAGGAAAATATGTAAGCGGATTTGAGACAAGTGGTGGTAAAAGATATAGCTTTCATTTTGGGGGCTGAGCCTGAAGAAATATTGAGACGGAAAAAGTTTTTAGGGTTAATTCTAGGGTTGCGAGACAGAGGAATTTGCCACGAGACGTGGTTATCTATTTTTCTAGATCACTTCGCAATGAAATTTTACAGGCTTTTTATAAGCAGAGATTTCAAATTGTAGCTCAAGATGTTATAATTTTAAAAGATATACCTTCAAAATTTCTTAGAAAAAGAAAGGATTTTGTTTTTTTGGTTGATGAGCTCAAAAAACGACAGGTTCGATTCAGATGGGAGATACCGGTTGGAATAGTGTTGAATTATGCAGGGATATATTACAGTCTTAATACAATGTCAAAGGCGAAAGATTTTTACATTTCGGTTTTGAAGGTGGGCTCTCCATTATCTTTATGACCGGTTGAAAGTGCTATGCTGTAGGAGATAAGCAGGCTGAACCTTTGCACCAGTCTTTTGAGACAGAAGATTTTTTAAAGGAACCGAGAATGACTCGTGCAGCCTATAGACGTAAATTAAAAGAACAGCAGAAGATGGATGTTGGAATAAAGAAAAGGAAATGATGAACTTTTTTAGTAATTTTTTGAGATAGAAGATGTTTTAAAGGAATAGTGAATGATTTGTATTTAGTATGTTTTAAAGGAACAGTGAATGATTTGTGTAGTATGTAGATGTAAAGAAAAAGAATAATAGAAGGTGTTGATTTAGTAGAAAAGTTTAAATATTTGGGAGCATATATATTATAAATTCTTAATTTAAAGTGAAAAATAATTATGAGATATTATGGGTAAATGTGTAAAATAATTTAAATTCTAATGATCTCTGTTGGTGAGAATTTTAGAAGATGAATGGTTTGCTGAAACTTTTTAAGTAGGAGGGTATTAATAGACTTTCTTAGGGGTAAAAAGCAAAGAGCCAATTTTATCGAACGTAAGTTTGTTGGTTAGGTTATATTGGAGGGAAAATTTTGTGTTTATTATGGATAAATGGTTGTTTAAAAGAAATATACACCTCAGCAAGGTGAAGATGGATAAATTATATGTAGAGTAAATATGGGTTACGATATGGGTTTAAAATGCATTATGCAGATTATGAATAATTTTTAGTTCTCAATTTGGAAATGCTTATATTGTTAATTTTTTTTCCTTTTTTGTATTTGAGTTAAAGTATATTATCGATTTTATTATTTGTATAGTTGGATAAGTTTATTTAGAATTTGCTTGTTTATTTGGGAAGTGAGGGGGGAGGGAGGGAGGGGGTTATTTTAGGGGGGGATATTGTTTAAAACTTGTATAAAACTTTTCAATAAAAAAGGGGGGGAAGAATGACAGTAATTTTATATGCTTCTTCACTGCAAACCACTCATTTGAATGATAGACAGCACTAAGAAATGCATCAGATTTTAAACTAAATATTCAAATTTATTTGCTTGAATCTTCAAAGATGATTAAACAACAGATTCTATATAAACATGTAAATAATTAGAGTAACTTTCTAAAGGAGTCGTAATATAACCCACTACAGAGATCTGCTTACTTCAAGTGAGACACCTTTATCATTTCAATTGCTGGTTCATCGTTGCCTCGCTCCCCACGAAAGGCAAGACTCCTACCTAAGAAGATGACGCACAACATATGTAAACTATCTAACACGAACAAACATTTCAAATTCTTACTTTAATCCCATTTAGATTTTCCTTTTTAACATTAGTTTCCAGTCCCATTACATTACATTTTCTGTATTAGAAACAATACTGAGATAGTAGAACGTGAGATATTGCTAAACTTTTGGCTACAAGCCAACCTATTTTTCACATTTTTTTTCTAATTTTAATAAGGGCCAAAGACCAGTATAAATTTTAGTAAATGCAAACAATTTCTCTGTGATCTTGGACTAATCCTATCTGTTCAATCCTTTCAATGCTGAAAGTCTGTTAAGTGTCTTATTCACACAAGCTACTTTTGTTACAAATTCATGATGTAATAACTTCTGCAAGAAATTACATTATTATCTAAAGCTGTCCCAAAGAGCTAATAGTGATTCTCTAAATATAAATATTGCTGCATCCCATTACATTCATTATACTGAAGAGCAACACTTGCTCTCATTGATATTTATATATCCCAATTTACAATCAGTTTTGATCACTTCCATGGAGGCCACTTCTTTCAGAATGTTCTGCAGAGAATTCAGTAATTTCATACACTGATAACTCTCCCATACTTATGGATACTCCAAACTACGATTGTTCTTTTTGTGGTCCTTCTTTCTTCTAGTATTACATAATATAAAACTGTTTAAAATATTCTGGAAGAGATATATCAGAAAACACAATGCCATTTTCTATTTCATCACCTATTTCCAAAATTGTACTTTCTTTTGGTAGCAGTTTTCTTTTCTTAGTGAGATCATCATACAAAGCAGCAGTTACAGACTATGGAGGAAAATTAAATTCCAGCCAAACAAATTTAAAACTCACCCAAATGAATTTAAAATTTGATCCATTTGAAAACTTTGCTGCATATGTGACATTTCTTAGTATTTGCTTCTTGCTTATTAAAAATAAAAAATAAATATGAAAGGCACTATACCAATGTGGGGCTAAGTTATATGAAAACCATTGTGGCATAGTGTAAAACACAGATCATTTAATCATAAGATCAAGGTCTGGATCCTAATTCAGATACAAAGACTAGTGGTGAAGTGATGAATACACCAAGCAAATCAAACATTTCAAAGTTAGATCACTGATCTTTCTACTGTTAAGATCCAAGCAATTATGCCTTTTCACGTTTGCATCCACATATGGAAACATCTTTATATCTTCCATCGATAACATCTGTTATCAGTGGGAGATATAAAACTGAGCAGAAGCTACAGCATCAATGCTAATATGTACAAAGAAGAATTGGTGTTAAAAATTTAATAATATTATAACAATACATTTATTAAGTCTAAGAAGTACTGAACTAGCGATCTTTTATAATTAGTTTTGAATTTGTATTCTCAGAAAAAGCCAAATACATTGTCCAATTGTTTTGCAGATAATGGCAAAATTTACCTATTTACATCTTGATAAAATATGAATTTAAAATATACTGAACTTGCTGAGCTATAGTCATCTAAAATTTTTAATCTGTTTTTTAAAAAATGCATTAACTCACTTATTTCATACCTAATTGAAATTCATCAGATAGAATTTAGTACAAATCCATTTTGCACAGCTAGTACATTCCTCTATTTTATCATCAGGTATTATATTGTGCAAAGAATTTACCTGTGGGAAGATCAACCATTTGCAATTCGTTTCTCACTAATCCCAAATTATTAGGTGTAGATGTAGCAAATGAAAGGAAGCCATTCAAGCCTGTCCATTCAATACCTCTATCAAGGAATAATACTGAAGTATATTATACAAGCATTTCGAATTATAAGAAACATATAGTTTAATGGGACAATATTTTTGTAAAATACACTTTAGAATATTCATTGTTTCTCTTTAAATGAAAAAAAAAAAAAACTATCACCCTACCAAGCCATGGACCACAGTAGATTCACCATACAAAAATATTAACATATACAGTATAAACATTATGTGAATAAAAGTAATAAAGAATATTTACAACAGTTTAATTCCGAAAAGACATAAAAATTAGACCAAAATTCCAATTAAAAAAGGAACTCCCATTCTTTAAAGTTGTTCTATATAAGTTGAGAATGGAGAATATTATTTTTTTTGCAAACAATAGGATTGATATTGAATAATTACACTATTTTACTTTAAATAAGCTGCATTATTACTAGCAGTAACACAGCAGCTAACAGCAATAATTCAAAGAATATGTTACTATAAGAAGACATAAGACAAGGATTATTATTATTACTTTACATTCAGTACTGTAGTAGATATTTTCTATTAAAAATATGAAGTCTCAGTAAAATAAATCTATAGATAAATACATAGATGGAAGTAAACTACCATTTGCATATGTATAATTTTCTTGAAAAAATGCTATAATTCATTACAATTTTGAAAACAATGACTATTTCTAATAGTATTTCTAGTAAATTAAAAAAAAAATCTGCAGTTATTCAAGATATCCTGAAGGCTACAGTATAAATAAAGCAAGCTCTGTATTCTCTAGGTCTGTTGTACATACCATTTTTTTTCAGAGGCCTATAGATCTAATTTGATTAAAAGCTAAATATGCAGCATGTATCATTGAACAAAAACCTGTATTTTTATGTAAATGGAAAATGGAAAATAAATTTGAAGCTTTTTTTTATCAAATACTAGTTATATTGGAAGTGTTCAAAAGCAGTCAATTTTCAATTTCCAAATTTCAAGTACACTGGCATAAAAACTGACATTTAATGCAATTAAGGGTCACACTACACTTGTTTTATAGATTACAACTCTGGTTAAAATGTAACACTTTTGAACTTTATTAATAGCCTCTGCAGTGCATTTATAGAACAGAAAAATGTAGTCTCAGAGCTTTAAAATCTCTGAATAATTCAAGGCAATTTATTTCATGAGTAGCTTTCTAGCAGTAAAGAAACAGTGAAGAAACCAAATTCTTTTGTTATATTCACCCAGCAGCCCCGGTAACTTTAGCATAGGTAGTCCTCAAACTAGGACAATAATTGAGCCTGGAATCATGGTTGTAAGTCATTGCAGTTGTTAAGTGTCACACATGACAATCCCCAATTTTACTTTTTTTTTGGCTGCAATCATTAAGCAAATGCAGTGGTTGTTAAACGTGGTAATCATTCAGCAAACCTGTTTTATCGAACGGGCTTTTTTTGCCAGAAACCAAAAGTAAATACCAGAAATAGGCAAAAGCATTAAAAATCAAAGTCATGTGACTATGGGATACTTCAAGCAGCATCTGAATATACCCAACATACAACACCAGTAACAATTAGAAGATGGCAAAGAATAGAAATTATGTAAAACTTAAAAGCAACACACAATGGCTACTTTCCCCAGTGACTTCTATGAACAATGCAAATCCTCTACGCGTTTATTTCTGAGCTTGGTTGTTTCATTACCCAGCTTGGTAATATCATCAGTGAGAATAAGTGTGGGATTTGTTCCCTGTTTAGGTAACTTTCTCGGCCAGTTTTGGTGAGGGTGTGGTTTTCACTTTGGCAGTTTCTAGATTATGGAACCGTTTTCAGCCTGATCATTTTGCCTGGTGTTAAATCTCTGTTTATCTGGATGTGGGCTTTTGGGGAAATTGTGTTCTAGTCTCTTTTTTCCCCTTCTTAGCCCTGAGGTCACAAATGACTCAACTTAAAACATAAGGTACACCCATAGGCCTCTTCCATATGTTTTTGGCAACGAAGTACATATTCAGTTTTCATCTAGTTCTTGTATTTTGTCATCCTTAATACTTAAATGAGGCAAACTCTGATTTGATCTGCCGCATGCTACAGATAAGTGTCATGAAATGCTTTAAGATAGACTAAAAACTTTAAAAACGTTGGAATAAACTGTAGGATCTCTGCAGAGGCACAGATGTCCAAAAGAATATTTATCATTGTCATATTCAGAAAATAACATAAAACTGAAAGATTATTGTGATCCCAAATCAGATAAGCAATTCGCTGGGGGGAAAAAGTGATTCAAATAATTTTGCATGGCTTGAAAGGATTTTAGCCTGCTTATCTGACATTGTTCTAGAAACAGAAACATGCAGTAAGATTTTGCACAGTACAATTAATGCACAAATCAAGAAAGGATTAGGAAGGATGGAAAGCAGGAAGGAAAAATTCAAATCTTATTTAAGTTTGTAACATTTATTATTATGGTCAAATAATTTGGGAGGAACCAAATGGGAAAAGAGGAAAATAAATGCCTGATTCCTTCCTAAAGCTAATAATTTGGTTTTCTCTCTTTCTCCTCTCATATTAACTGACCCAATCCTGAAGGTGGCAAAGAGGAAATTTTATATTCAAGATCACATTGCTGTTTATGTATCTAAAGTGTTTCTTAGTTCAAGTATTTTTAAAGATTTATAATTTGACAGATGGTGAGACTGCATTTTCTTAATTAAAACTAGCTACATAAGAGCAGAAACTTCTAAAAAAGAAATCTAATAAAGAAAATAATTTTGAATGAAACAGGCTTTTTGGAACACAGCCAAGCTTATGTAATTTCCTTATTCTAGCTGATGCTATTAAAACATGAATAAATAAAGAATATCAAAAACTTCGAACAGAATTAGAAAGTTATCACCTCAGTTTGTCAGTGATGTATTGTATAGTCCTGATCTATTCTTTTACATGAAAAAAAATAGTCACTGCATTTTGTCCTATAGGAAAAACAGAATGATTTTGAGCAAACAAATATAGGGGAACATTAATCAGTCTTTTTCCTCCCAGCTACTGAGTGTTCCTCTATTCAGGACCCCAAGCTCTGCTAGCTATTGGGAATAAGACATTTTTTTTTAATGAGGAACTAAAAAACCTCCCTCTCATAAATGGTTTGAATTGGGTAGGTCTGTCTCTATTGCAATATACTAAAAAAAGCAAATTTTATGTTCAGGTTCAATATGTAGTTACAAATTCAAATATTTACTATGCAAAATCATATTTATAATGAATCAATCATGATTTTATTTAAGGAACTAAAATTATTTTACTGAAGAAATATCATCTCAGAAAAAGTCAATTGTTTGCATTAAATATTTTATTTTCTTCCCCCATCCCCTTCCAGGATCAACAACGATTAAAAATAACTCACTTGACTTCACAGGAATGAATGCTTAATTCTTTGTATAGGTATCCACTAGTAAGATTATACACCAAGACCGACCCATTGCTTGTTCCTGTAAAGAATAATTTTCATTATGTATAAAGATGACAATTTATATTAATGTTTTACATTCAACTTTGCAAATAAAAATGAGTCTATTGAATTAATTTTCCTGATTCTTCTACAGCAACAATAGCAAATTAGCAATGTGAGTTTACAAAGTTGATGTGAACCCTCTATACCAGAGGTCCCCAACCTTTTGAGCACCAGGAACCGGTTCCGTGGAGAGAGGTTTTTCTGTGGACCGGAGGGGGCGTGGTTTCATGTACTGCCTGATGGGGCTTTGCTTGTTTGTGCAGACCGGTTTTTGGCATGCCGTGGCCTGGTGTCAGTCCACGGACCGGGGGTTGGGGACCCCTGCTCTATATAAGCATAAATGGGTACTAACGAAACATCCTTAACGCTCCTAATTTCTACTTAATCAAGAATCAAGAAAGTATTCAAAGATAAAGACTGTCTCTAACCTCCCAGGAAGATGTATAATTTATTCAAGGCAATTGGTAGGTATTGAACTTTCTGACACGCTATTACAGAACATAAATTGTTCTTATTTATAAACAGAAGCTTTCTTAACATGATACAGAGTAATCAGAGTAAATGTTTTCTTGAACCTCGATAAGAAGAAAATTCACTGTAGGGTCAATGGACAGGGATCATAGGAATCAGATGGTACAATAATACTGGGAAGATAATCAGCTCCTCATCATACAGCTTTAAATAACCCGTTTTAGCACTGACTCTGAATTCTGAAGTGCCACTCGAGAGAATTTCACCTGGCATTAATAATTATTATTGTTGGTTTTTTAATTATAGTTTATTGTGCAGTCAATCAAATTTTTATATCATATTTTATATTTTATTATGATCTGTCGCAGTAATACAGGTGATTAGATTTGACACTTTAATTCACCTGTCAAGTCCTCCTCAAGGACTTGGGAAAGAAAGATATTATTTGAATTATTATTATGGTTCCTTACAGTCAGCCAGATTTTAGATAGATTTGGCATTTTTATCTACCTATCAAATTCTTTCATATAGCCAGCCAGTTCTTTAGACTGGATTTATCCATCTATTGAGTCCTTCCCAAGGTCCTGGAATAGGCAATGTTGTTCTTTGATAGTGTGAGAGATATTATCTCAGGATGTAAGCTGTTCCAAGTAAAGTTGTCTTTTGCAATTGACTGATAGTGATTTTGTCAACGCCATAGTATTCAAGTGGTATTCTATAGGTTTTGGAATTGCACTAAGAGTGGCTATTATTGTTGGTACTATCTTTGCTTTCTTCTGTGAGAGTTATTACACTTCTATTTGGGGGTATTTATAGTTTGCAATTTTCTCCAGTTCTATTCTGCTGTGTTCAGATACGGCAATGTTCACTATCCAGACTTCTCTTCTTTCTTATTTTCCCTACATTCCCCTGAGGGATGTTCACACAGTTCTTTTAAATTATGTTACTTTAGAAACCGCTATACTGGTTTTTAGTTTCTATAGAATTCTTCTTAGGAATTTGAATTTTAGTAGGCTATTTTAATATTTGTTCAATTATATAAAATTTTACCTATGACAATTCTGTAGTATTTAAGTATTTTTTTTTAATTGAATTTTTTTCAAAAATTTTACAAATAAACATCCACCCCCCCCTCCCAAACCACCCCACCCTCCCCCTCCCCGACTTCCCAGAACTGAATATAGGATTATTTAACAAATTTTAAAAAATAACGTATACAATTTATAAGATAATTATTAATAATAATAAAAATAATAATAATAATATATATAATAATAATATACGTAAAAAAAAGGAAAAAGAAAAAAGGGAAAAAGAAAAGAGAGAGAGAAAGAAAAAAGAAAGAGGTAGGCGAAAAATAAAACATATAGAAAAGTATATAACTAATAATACAGAAGAAAAAAGAAAGGAAGAAAAAAAAAACAATCATTACAAGTTATAAAAAGGCTAAATAATATTTTTCCATATCTAAATTATGTTGTATAAAATTTATCCATTTTTCCCATACCGCAAAAAATTTCTCTTGAGATTGCTCCTTTAAAAAAGCCGAAATCTTTGCCATTTCTGCCAAATACGAAACTTTATAAAACCACTCTTGTAAAATAGGCAAGGATTCCTTCTTCCAATATTGTCCTATTAACAGCCTAGCGGCTGTAATCAAATTTAGCATCAATATAACCTCCCTAGCATCACAATCAGTAACAATACCTAATAAAAATAATTGCGGAGTAAATTTTACCCTCCTTCTAAAAATTCTCTGAATATTCCACCATATCTTAATCCAAAAAGCTTTTATATGCTTACACGTCCACCAGATATGATAATAAGTAGCATCCAAGTGTCCACATCTCCAGCATTTCGGCTGTAAATTAGAGTACATAATGGACATTTTCTTTGGATCAAGGTGCCATCTATAAAACATCTTATAAAAATTCTCTCTTAAATTTTGCGCTTGTGTGAATTTAACATTTCTTGTCCAAATAAGTTCCCAAGTATCCATTGAAATCGATTCACCAATATTCTGTGCCCATTTAATCATACAATCTTTAACTAATTCAGATTCTGAATCCAATTCCACTAAAACCCCATAAACTCTCTTAATATATGGGTTGGCCTTTGATCTCTTACTTGTTTTAGGAAAGTTTCATCTTCTCTAAGCCAGCCCATTTTACGATCCATCTTCCATCTGTCCACTATTTGTCTATATTGGAACCATGAATAAGTTAGATTTTCATGTATTAGCTCTTCCAAAGATTTTAACTGCCAGTCTTGGCCATCCCATCTAAGTAACTGTGCATAAGAAACCATATCCATATTAACCCCTTTCCTTATACCTTCTATGGCATGCCGAGGTATAGCCCATAATGGTATTTTAAAATCAAATTTATAATACTTCCTCCACACTCTAAGCAAAGAGATTCTTATAATATGAGACTTAAAAACCCAATCCACTTTTTTATTAAATATTAAATAGGCATGCCATCCAAAAAGTAAATCCCAACCTTCCAAATGAAGTATTTCTATATTTGTTAAATTCACCCAATCGCTGATCAATGTTAGTACTACAGCATCATAATACAATTTCATATTTGGTACCTTGAGTCCACCTCTCTCACGAAAATCTTGCATTATTTTAAGTTTCACCCTTGGTTTTTTCCCTGCCAGTATTTAAGTATTTTTATATGTGACCTAGAGAATTCTAATTGGGTGACGAATAATATTTTTAAAGGAAAATACAGTCAACCATAAGGCCATCTTTCTGAGACAGTGTTTTATAACAAAAATTAAAGAGATAATTGGTCAGATTCATTTTAGAACATTACATTTTTAGTGGTTTATAGTCTGAAAAAATATTACTAATTGCAATTTCTAAAATATAAAGCATAAAAACCTACAATCAAGAGGAAGTAAGATTATAAATAAATAAATAAATTATATTTTCAAGCAGCTTAGTGATAAGTTATTTCCCATAGAAATATTTTCTGAAACTGCACTGAAAATTACACAAACCTATTAATTCATAGTTGAACTGAAAAATATAATGAACTTTACTCTTTCAAGAATACTTACCAACAGCAAGCAGGGGATGATATTGCTTAATATTTTTGGTGGTAAGAGGTGGACACATGCGAATAGCAAATGGAGGCAAAGGAAGTCCTGAAAGTAGTCCTGTTAAAATGAACTTCAAATGTACTTCTTGCAAACAATAACTTTTTGCTTGCTCTTCGGTAGATAGTGCACCTTTATTGTAGGACACAAAAGAAAAAAGCTGTTTCTGGCAATATGCAACTCTCTCTCTCTCTCTCTCTCTCTCTCTCTCTCTCTGTGTGTGTGTGTGTGTGTGTGTGTAATTAATGTGTGTGTGTGTGTGTGTGTGTATTATAATATTGCAGGAAAAATATTTCCATTATAGTATAATGGTTTTAATGGGTAATTGCTTATGCTTAAGCATGAATCCACTTGAACCAAAAGGTTATTTTTACATATTAGCATAATCTAAGAACAACCTGAATTAATTTCTGTGGGAATTGTGCATTCTTCTATTTAATAATGCACATATTTAATCAAAACCAAAGTCACCCACACAGTATAATTCATGTTTCATTTCCTGACAATTTAACCTTGAATATATCCAACTTTTAATTCTCTCACATCTTTTCATTATATTGCCATGACCCAACATTTTGTTATTAAAGAATGAGAGGGAAATAGACCAGAATATATTAGAGAAATATAAAATGAACTAAATGAACTAAACTCAATGAAAATACAGAAAAATCCTTAGTAAATCCAAGAGAAGCAATACCTTTCAACAGTCTTGACACTGTAAATGTAAGAAAATATTTACTGTGAGCAGGTTTTGTAGATATATCATTCTGAATATTTATGTATGGGTGGCACCCTGCACTTTTATTATCCAGATGTAATATTCTTGCATTTATCCTTGTGGGCTTTAAATATAAAGGATTTTGCAATGAAGGATGTCACAAAAGTCGTTGTAATTATGATTGCTTAATAATAAATGGAAATATTCCAAAGTTGCAATTTCCTAAAATAATACTTTCAATAATTTATTTGTGAGCAAAGTTAAAAGTCTGCACACATATGCATGTGTATCAACAATGTATTCATAGTTCTATACTTTTTCTTCCACTTACTTATCATATTATCCAGTGACAGATCTGGAAGCTTATTCTGCAAGGTTCCAACAGGAATTCCACAGAATGAGATAGGTGAATACAAGGGTGATATGTTCGAATGGCTAAAAATAGCAACAAGAAAACTTCAGCATGCAGCATTGAATTATCTTCTAATATAAACAACAAATAGAACCCAGGTAGAATTGTATACGAGGATTGGTACCAAGCAAGATAAGGGACCCTTGATTTTCACTGGTTACAATGAAAGCATCAGAGAGTAGATTTAATCTCTTCTCTAACAGTTCCTGCATGTATTTGTTTTTTAATTTCCCCATAAAGTATCTGAATTACTATTATTTATGACTGGAATAAACAATTTATTTTCATGAATTCTTAAAGAGTAATACTTTCCTAATCAATTGACTAAAATTCATGTATATTTCAGATGTTATCTACTCCCACATGTGCTAAGAGTAACAGTGAGTGTTTTAGCTAGTGTTAATTACTTGTCAACAGTGAAATATATTGAGGAGATAAACAAAATCCAATGAAATTTGATAAAATTTGCCATTTAATATATTTACTCCATAAATTTGCAGATACAAATTCCTTTCTAGTGCGTTAAAATTTAATATGGCTAGCTAAAACAATATATTGCTAGGATATGGCCAAAGTTACCAGCTTATTAATGCTAAAACAATTAACTTATTAATGCTAAACTTATTCTAAATATAAGTTTATAACATTATTACTCTAAAAGTTATGCCTACAATCATAGACACTACAGAATTTTTGGCAAAATTTATGTTTTACTTTATTAATATCTTATTAGATTTGGGTAGCATTTCAAACTACTTTGGGGATTACAAGCTCAGCATTGAACGATTGACTGCTTACATGCCATCAAGTTTCTGTCAACTCTTAATGACCACATAGATTTTCAGCATGCAGCAAGCCAAGTCCAAAACGCTGCCAGTATCTTTATTTATACGATTTGCTTAATGTTTCTTATATTACTATGGCTCTAAATATCTGTCATCTGACATAACCTAAAACCCAATATAGCAAAAATTTCTTCCACAAGAAGAAGCACAAAGACAAACAGCTCTGAGTTGGGTAAGTGGGAGTGCAAACATACAGAATGATTACTATCTTTATCCATAGCAAGTGTGATTCCTTAAAGAATAAAATACTGGGATTCATGTAGCATCAAGTGGCAATGGAACTACATTTCATATAAACCACATGCAGTTTTTATTAAGCATTATCTTCACGTGGTTATTAGCTACAAACTATGGTTCATGTTACTTTTTGAAGATTGCATTTGTATTAAATTTCATTCTTGCTGGCTCTAGAAAGGTGGTACCACAAACAGGCTACGATTTTTGGTTTGTTATGCCAGAAATACTGTGTAATAATTATTCTCAAGCATTCCCTATATACATATGTAATGGAATAAAAATGATACTAAGTTACCTGGTACGTATACCTTGGCCTGAAATGGTGGATTTCAGCTCCCATATCATTACTCTTCCATCGCTGACTATAAGAGCTACAGAATTTTCATTAACTGGACAGCTCACCATACTAAACGGGCGAACAGTCTTAGTAACCCTAATGGCATCACACTGACTTCGTAAGTCGTAGATAAGTTCCTGAATGGGCTCAGGATCTGTAAATGTTAAATTGTAAGATATCAGACATTTGCAGCTATCAGTTCTATGAATTAAATGCATTCCTGTTAGTCTTTTGTTTTTCACTGTAAAATTAATATGATATGAACTCAAGCTAGTTTGCAACATTGATGTAAAAAGTTGAATACTTTCTAGCAGAGGAAGTTAATTTGCCACACACCACATTATGGAGAATAAGTGAACATAATAAAAGACTCAGTAAATGGTTGCTAGAGCCTTAAGTATAGGAACATACAATGTACATTATCACAGCATATATAGACTGTGCCCTTTGATTACTGTCCAAGTCCATCTATTTCTGTATCTGTACTCACACAAAGCTTTATTGTATTGGATTATCAGCATGTTATCTGCTTTAAATAATGAAATATCATCACGCTAAAATTGTACTTATTTTTAATTCTAGCTGCAATCTAAACAATCATGTAATCTGAATAACAGTGAAACTAACTGTCAGTTAAAACATAAATTCATATGAATTTATGGTGACAGGCATATGATTGGTGACTTACCTGCTGACTCTTCATTTGAGACAACACTTGAATTACTGGTAGATCTGCGAACTCTCAGAGATATACAGCCATTTTCATGCAGGCAGATCAATCCATCACGCTGACAACAAGGAATTACCTAGACAAAAGATATAAAAAAGCGACTGAGAGTAACACTTTTAATATAAATTTCATGGGTATTAATGAGTAGGAATTGTCATAGCTGTATGAAGTATTTCTATATTGGATCTTAAAACAGAATTTAGCTACCTTAAAACTCACCAGTTTCATTTTAAAGTCTTCTTAACTTAACTCTGCAGCTTAAAGAATGCCCAGCCTACTTTTCCAATAGTTCCAATTGTTCTTATATATCTCTTGAACAATATTTTTCAGGTTATTTGTAAATAAAAAATAAAGAATGAACACATCCAGATTCAGCAGTTTCATTCCATACAGCATTAAACCTTGTGAATTCTCAAGCTTCCTCCTTCCATTATATATTCAAGATGGACAGTATTTAATATTTATTTGCTACATATATGTAGGGGTGTGGGTCTATACGTATGTTGTTTATAGTATGTTTAGGTGTGTGTCATGTATGTGTTTCACTTTGAGAGTGGGCAACTAAATTTCATTTTTGATGTGTACCGTTGTACCCACAGTAAAAAAAATGACAATAAAGGTTATCTTACCTTATCTATCTTAAGCAATATTATTTTATCAGTATTTATTAGTATATTTCCCTTAATGGTGGGAACACAATATACATAGGTCAGGAGATGGCAAAGGGGGAAAATCCTTTTAATGTGAATAATATAATATTACAGATGTTCCTTGACTTACAAATGCAATTGGGACTGGAATCTCAGACACTGAGCAAAGTGGTCATTAAACAAGACACCTATGTGACTGCTTTGTTCAACAACTACAATCCCATTGCTCCTGATTACATTTGTTAAGAGATCTCCTGGGTCATTAAGCGGACACAGTAAAGGGGGATGCCTGCTGAATTCCGTTCGGTTTGGAGAAGGGAACTGCTTTAGTGGGAACGGAGCTGGATTTTTCAGGATCCGAGTTCTTTTTTTCCACTCCCGGAAAGGAGATGAACTCTTCCAGTATGATAAAGAGAGGGAGCTCCAATCTTGAAGTTTCCAGCTCTGTTCCTGTAGCCCACTGGAATTTGCCTCCCCTCTGTGCACAGACAACTCCTTCAAAAGTTGCAGAAATGAAGTTCAGATCTTTGGGATCTGACCTCCATTTCTGCAGCCCCTTGGGGAAGTTGCTTTCCCCTCTGTGTGTAAGAGGGGGCTCCTTTGGAGCTCTGCAGTAATGGAAGTCAAATCTTCAGGATCTGAGCTCCATTCTGCAGCCTTCTGGAGAATTCCACTCCATTCGTGGAGGAGAAGGGCTGCAGGCAGCAGTAGCTTGCAACACTGACTTTCTGGGGATGGCAGCAGGAGAAGACTGCAAATGGCATGACATCATTGCAGACAGCTTTGCAATTGATCCTAAGTGTGAACAGATCACCAAGCATCCAAGATTGCGATCATGTGACCACAGAGCGGGTGTGGGATTTTACAAAGGCCAGAAGTTGTAACACATTCTTTCTGAGGCTGTCATAACTTTGAACAGTTCTTAAACAATCAGTTGCAACTTAAAATGCTAACAATAACACACTTCAACATTAAATTATGCATTCATTTAAACAGTAAGAATATTTAGTGTGATAAAATTCTATATTATACGATACTGGTAGATTCACTCAGTTCACTTCTATGAAAATATATCCAACTTTTTTCCCATTATAGGAAACAATACAACCAAAGCAGAAAACATAATTAAATTTGCTTTTGGATTTTAAAACTAAAAGGGCAGACTGGTCACCTAATTTATTATATATATATATACATAGAGAGATAATATGGGTTATAGTCATGCCTTAGGCCAGGGGTGTCAAACTCAATGTCATTGAGGGCCGCATCAACATTGCGGTTGCTCGTGGGGGGCCAGGTGGTGTGGCCAGGGTGGGCATGGCCTACTGGGTGGGCGTGGATGGGTAGGCGTGGCCAGCTCTACATCGTTCATGTCAAGGGTGCCTGTGGGGGGCTGGGCAGGAGTGGGACAGATCTGAGGTTCTCTGGCAGAAGGGAGTGGGACCAGGGCAAGTGCCAAGGCATGGTGCATTTCTTCATTCCTCACAAAGGGTGACACCTCCCCAGCATGCACCCAAGGCGCGGGGCCAATGCGGCAGGAACTGGTTCCTCACTGTTTCTGGACGGCCTTGTGGAGCTAAGACTGAATGCATTTCAGCATAGATGGCCACCACAAAATTGTACATTGTACACTGGCTCCCGGCCAGCCAGTTCCCTCACTGTTTCCAGGATGGCTTCACAGGCCACATGAAACCACTTTGTGGGCTGCATCCGGCCCCTGGGCTTTGTGTTTTGACATGTCTTCCTTAGGCACTAAACCAGCAGTGTAACCTTGGAGCTTGGGCCAGCCACTGTCTCTCATTCCTAAGAAAAAAACAATGGCAAACCACTTCTGAAAATTTTATCAAGAAAACTTCAGGCAGCTGCCAGGAATCAATACTGACTTAAAGGCATGTACTTTCCATAGAAAATACAAAGCAAACAACATGGTATGTTTTTGGAAGCAGCTTTCTGAAAAAAAGTTAGATTGTACTTAATATATCAAACCAAAACCAGATAATGAAGCCAGATTTCTTTTTATTTAAAATTTTTATGTATTAAAGAAAGAAGAGAGTGAAATGTATAACTTTCTTTCTAAAATATGCTAAATAGTAAGTGTATTTATTACCTGTAGAAAAGGTACTCCTGTTCTTTCAATTGCTATTACACCTACTGTCTGATTGACTTCAAGATCCAGAACCAAGATTTCTCTTGAGTACAGTAATAACATGTAATTTCGCTTGGAAGGTAGGTAGGATAGCTGAAGGCAGTCATTCAATGTTACTGATTCAGCACTAAACAGACCACAAATATACTTATTACATGCTTTTAATTGAAAGTGGACTATGTTTTATCAAGCAATTAATAATCAAATAATTAAAATTAAACCCGCAACCAAATTACATATGCATTTTAGGTCTCTTGGCTTGTAGGCGTCATTTTAGCAGTTTTTAATAATATTTCAACATTGATTTGTTTTAATTATTTTTCACCTGTTTGGATAATTTGTAAGCCGCTCAGGAATCATTTTGTAAGAGAGATGAGTAGCATAAAATTTTAATAAATAAAATAACAAATATATGATAGCATATGTATATAAAATTGCATAGCAGACACTACAATGACTGTTTTTTATTCCTGCTCTTTTGCTAACTGATAGTGCAAGTAGTGAACATTGTATTAACATATACTGCAATTCATTTCTGAACTGATGAAAGGAATTTTATATTTCACTTTGTTCATAAGTTCAGACTAGGCCAAAATGAATCTATTGTTTGAGGTACTGACTTCTGGCTAGTGATATTCATTTTATAAAGTCCAGGTAAAGTATACATCTCACTTATCAATTAATGTGACAGTAAATATGGGCTAATATAGGATTGTAGATTTTATCCAAGTAACCGATATTTTGACTGATTGCCTTGATTAATGCATTAATAGTTGAAAGGGAACAACTTGCTTATTTCCCAATGCTTTCCAGCAGTACATAATTTTTCTCCACCTTAACCAATCGAAAATGGATTTGGTAATTTAACTGGAGGATATAGATCAGTGGTGGCGAACCTATGGCACAGGTGCCAGAGGCAGCACTCTGTGAGCATGTGTGTCGTCGCCCCAGTCCTAGGCCTTCAGCTGGGTTTTATAAAACCTTTTCGCTTTAGGCCTCCGCCGCCTTGTACAAAAAAAGGTTCAGTCAATTCAACTTCTCGCAGGGAAAAAAAAAAAGATCTTGCAAAGTTGGAATTGATTGATTGAACTTTTTAGTCCCACCCAGTCTGCCGTTACCACTGCAACCACGCCCACCCACTGGGCCACACCCACCCGACACTCGACAGTGCATAAGTGGGTTTTGGTTGCAGTTTGGGCATTTGGTCTCTAAAAGGTTCGCCATCACTGATATAGACTAAGAGAAATACTGAAAGCTTAGAGTTTAAATTTTAAAATACCACAAAATACCAAAAATTGTCTGTACCACTTATTAAGCTACAAAAAATGCACTGACAGCCCAAGTTTCATTTTTGATAATTCTGTACATTATAATCACTAGAATTTAAACAGACATAAAAAGTAAGTTGAAATTGCCATCAAAGCTATTGAAAAATGAAGCAACATTGTAACTATTTAATTCTACTTCAGAATTAATGTTTGCTTGTTAAGATCACATTACAATATAAACTGATACATTTGATTAAGTATTTGAAGAAAACTATATGGAATGAGAAAGAAATAAAATATATATTTCAATATTTGCCAAGGGGAAAAATGCAATGATCAAGTTTATGACTGTTAAGGGCATGGTTATTAAGTAAGGCAGTTTGAAAAGAATAATTCTTGAGAACATTAGGAGAAATCATAGTTAATACATACCTTGGTTTTTCATTAGTGATGAGAATTTTCACTTTGTCCAGAGCCTTTTTAGCTCCTGTGGCAGATACCAACTTATTATGAACAGGACTAGAATGAGGGCTGGAAATATAGACCTTTTTTCCTGAACTGATAGGAGCTTTAGAAGGAGAGAAGTCTGAAATAAACACTATTCCTTCACTTGTAAGCACTGCATGAAAAAAGATAATAGTAGTAAATACACAAAGTAATTAAATCATATAATTTCATGGTTACTATACTAACAGAGTTCAAATGTAAATGATTTCATGCAATGCTGAAGTAGATGGCAGACAGCTCAAAGGAATGTTCTTGGCAAAAAACCAGAGGACTATTTTGTTTTCACTGATTATAGGCCAAACAGTCTCAATAGTTAAATTTATATGGTTTTTATGTATATGAGTACAGTACTAAGAAAACAAAATCTTCAGTACATTGTATTTGTTACTTCAAAATGAAGCAGTGTAAACAAAGCATTATCTTCTCAAAACCTTCAGGTGTTCTTAACTGCTTAACTTGCAGTACACTTATCTGTAAGTATACTACATACTTGGAACTGAGTACCAATGGATTTATGTGGAGTAAGCATACTAAATAATGATTCTTCTGCATTTCCTTTTGTCTATACACACACACACACACACACACACACACACACACACACATATTCTAAGATTTTCGCGGGTGTTTGTATGTAGGTCTTTGGTTATTCGGGTTTTCTCCCGCGTAAAATTGGAAGTGTCTTGGCGACGTTTCGACGAAGTCCCATTCGTCATCTTCAGGCTGGTGTTTTCAGCTTCGTGCTTTGAGGAGCAACGTGTGGTCTTAGCTGTTTCTTCCTTTTAGCTGCCAGTGGGGGTATGAACTGATTGGGTGGGAGCTTGGCTGTGTTCTGATTGGGTGGAGGTGTGTTCTGATTGGTTAGGGGTTTGGCTGTGCTCTGATTGGCTGCTCTGAGTGTTCTGTTTGGGTGGGGCTTTGTTGTGCTCAGGTTAGTCTGAGTTGCAGGGGGGTTTAAGATGGTGGGCTGCAAAACCCCCCTGCAACTCAGACTAACCTGAGCACAACAAAGCCCCCACCCAAACAGAACACTCCCCCAGCCAATCAGAGCACAGCCAACCCCCCCAGTAAAATTTAGTAAAATGTCAATAAAATTACTATAAAACCAATAAAACGCCTAAAATTTTTAGCACTCCCTGGTGCTCATTTATTTGTTTGGTTTTATATCTAGATAGATAGATAGATAGATAGATAGATAGATAGATAGATAGATAGATAGATAGATAGATAGATAGATAGATAGATAGATAGATAGATAGATAGATAGATAGATAGATATGTAGGTCTTTGGTTGTTCGAGTTTTCTCCCGCGTAAAATTGGAAGTGTCTTGGCGACGTTTCGACGAAGTCCCATTCGTCATCTTCAGGCTGGTGTTTTCAGCTTCGTGCTTCGAGGAGCACGAAGCTGAAAACACCAGCCTGAAGATGACGAATGGGACTTCGTCAAAATGTCACCAAGATACTTCCAATTTTACGCGGGAGAAAACCCGAACAACCAAAGACCTACATACAAACACCCGCGAATACCTCAGAAAACACACACACACATACATACATACATACATACATATATGTAGGTCTTTGGTTGTTCGGGTTTTCTCCCGCGTAAAATTGGAAGTGTCTTGGCGACGTTTCGACGAAGTCCCATTCGTCATCTTCAGGCTGGTGTTTTCAGCTTTGTGCTTTGAGCTTGCTGCTCAAAGCACGAAGCTGAAAACACCCGCAAAAACCTCAGAAAACATATATATATATATATATATATATATATATATATATATAAAAATAAAATAAAATAGTGACTTCAAGTATTTTCTAAAGCAGAAAGCTATGAATCAAATAAATAAATACCGTAAATGCCAGCGTACAAGGCGACCCGGCGTATAAGACGACCCCCGTCTTTATAGCCGGGCCGCATTCCTAGAACGTCGTCTTATACGCCGGAAACTACCAGTATTTCCGGCGTATAAGACGACCCCCGTCTTTGGCGCCGATTTCAGCGCTCGCGGAAGTCTCCTTATACGCCGGCATTTACGGTAAATAATTTTTTGTATTATAGAATAACACAGCTGTACAAAACATCACAGGTATAAATGGGCATTATATGAGCAGTTTGGAAGCTTCTTTACACTGATTGTGTTCTGAAGTCAAGTTACAAACCAGCATAGCTTTATATGCATGTTTTGATAGAAGATTGTAAATTCAAAGCTCTTGTTCTTATCCTTTATTTGTCTGCTTTAGAATCTGAAAAACACATCCTTTTGATAGCAGAGCTATCAAATAATTTAAATAACTAGAGTGCTTAGCATTAGTATTTACTTAAGTATGTTTCAAACTAGCAATCCTCAAATCACAATTAGTTTCCAAGCTATTTCTCAAAATGTCACACCAGATTCATTCAATCATTTTATATTGCTTTCGGCCTAATTTTTATTAATTTCTATGCAACTGGCAGTTATATCCAGTAACAAATACCTGATTAATAGCAATAGTCATACATGTGGACTAGAAGACCACTAGTTCTCTGATATCAAACTTACATGTTAAATTTGAAGGATCAAAAGGATCAAATGAAAAAGAAAGAATGTTTTCTGCATAACTTTTCTTCCACAATTTGGTGCCAGTATCAGCATTCCATAACACAATATAATTGGGAGGATGAACAGCAAGGAGCAAATCTCGAGATGCATCCTGATTCCATAACCACTGCATGTCTATCAAAAAGGAAGGCAGACTTATCAGTCCTTAAATTAAAAAAATATTTTCTCAGATTTTAAACTAAATCATATCAATAAATTTTATTTATCTATCCCACAGCCAAGACAACACTCTCAAACTACATGGCAAAATACATTCATAGAAGACTTAAGGACTCTAAACATCACATGGGAAGACACTAAAGTACTCACCAAAGACTGAAAATGCTAGAGATCCTGGCTGCCTGATATAGTAATAGCAATAGCATTTAGACTTATATACTGTTTCACATGCTTTACATGTGTGTGTAAGCAGTGTACAGAGTCAGCATATTGCCCCAACAATCTGGGTCCTCATTTTACCGACCTCGGAGGGATGGAAGGCTAAGTCAACCTTGAGCCAGTTATAGTCAAACTACCACACTGCAGGCAGCCGGCAGGCAGCAGAAGTAGCCTGCAGTACTGCATTCTAACTACTGCACCACTATGGCTCATATTACCTAGCATGGGAGGATCTAATGCTAAAGCTAATCCTATCTTTAATATTTTTATAAATACCTGAAGGCAGCCAACATACTGATACTCCTTCTTTCTCCTGGTTTCCCCATAGCAACAACCCTGTGAGGTGAATAGGGCTGAGAGAGAATGACTGGCCCAAAGACACCAAGCTGGCTTTCATGCTTAAGGCAGAGCTAGAATTCAGTGACCTGGTTTTTAGCCTGATGCCTTAATCACTAGACCAAACTGATTCTATAATTCACCATTTCTATTAATAAAGCAAAGTTTCACTTAAATAAAAAATACAACGCATTCTTTAACATCGCTGATTACAATACACAATAAACAAACATTATTTTTATTCTTTGAATAAGCCTTGTAACGAAGTCCACCAAACCATCTTTGCAATGTTGCCAGCATCGTTTATACGCAAACCGCAAAATTTGCAGAGCTCTACAATATTTGCTAATACGCCTTGATGATACATATTGCATAAGGATATCCCCAAATATTCCAGGCAGCAATGTAAACAGTTCTGTATGTATGTATGAGGTGAGGTCCCTTGGTAGTTCTGTCTTTGGGTAACTATTATCCAATATCTTTATTAATGACAAAGGGAATGGAGTAGAAGGAGCACCTATCAATTTTGCAGATGATAGCCAAATAGGGAGTCTGGCTAATATTTCAGAAGACAAAAATTACATTATGAACTGAAGCCAAACATTGGACCAAATCAAGTAAGTTGAATGGTCAAATGTGATAACAGCAAGGTCTTCCTCACAAATAGGACAAATCAAATACATAGGTACAGGAATGATTAGACTTGGTGATAGTGAGAAGGATTTCAAAATGCTAGTAGATTACCATCTGAAAAAGCTACAGTCAAGCATTTCAAACTTTAGCCTTCTCACTCTAGTCTAGAGTTAGAACTACCACTTAGTACTTGTCCTTAGTTATTAGATTCCATTTCCTATACATTTCCATTTGGTGAGCTCACAACTCTTTAAAGCTTTTTTCATTCTTCATTTTCATTAGGATAGTTCTGCCTCTGGTTTCAGTAATTCATTTTTCATTCTCTGCCAGGTCTTCAACTTGTTTATCAACTCCTGCCTGAATTTTTTAAAAATCTGTCTTCCTCAAACTGTAGATCAGGGGTTCTCAACCTTGGCAACTTTAAGACTTGTGAACTTCAACTCCCAGAATTCCTCAGCCAGCTTTGCTGTAGATAATTGGAAGAAAACACCTTGATATGTCATTAAATGCACTATGTGTATGTGTGTGCATGTGCGTGCATGCGTATGTACATGTGAGGGGGGATAGAGAGAGAGAGTGCAACAGTATAATGAACCCAAGTTTAAAAACCTGGTACCCGATATCTCAGTCTGTTATATTTAAGTTATGAATTGTAACCATCTCATTTCCATTTTATCATAGGGAAAAATCAAGATCAATTTCAAAATGCAATTACAGCATCTTATGCAGTGTCATTAAAGGAAAAATTTCCTGGGTCATTCTAGGCCGTTAAAAGTTTCTTAACAAGCAAATGATCAATTATTCATGAAGCTTATCTTGAAAATTTCATTTCACCCAGATGCTGTGAATTTTATTTCAGGAATAAAACACATTTATAACTGTGAAGCTAATGAGGAATGGGGATAGCACTGAAAACAGCAGGAGAAGTACAGTTTGCAAAAAGGAAAAACTGTCACAAGAGAGCTGACAAATATTAGAAGGTATTAAGATGGAAAATGTACTTTTAAAGAAAAAAGGTACAATCCAATTATTTATTTTTATTCAAGTTGCTATTGACCTCTGCTTTAAAAGAGAATTCCAATATATCATCTTTTACCTAAAAACATATAAACTGAGTAATTGTTAATCAGTTGATAAAAACATCTAAAGTCATGATTATTACTAGTAATGGCTGAAAATAAATATCTTGATTCTATTCCTGAGCGTAGAAGAAAGATTTAGCTTAGAAGACATTCCATAACTTCTCTTGGATGCTAGACAATGATGCTTTGGCATCTTTATGAGAAGTGTTAGACACAAAAATGCAGCTATTTTCCATATGTTCTGTTGCTAACCTAGAGTTCCATCCAATCACTGTTTTCAATAATTAATCTTACTAATTCAATAATAAAGTGGCTGAATCTGCATTTGGGAATAACAATATAATAAAAAAATGAAGTAATATTTTAAATGTATCGATTACATCATGTCTTTTTAGAATAGCCCAATCAAGAGGCAAGCCAGCATATGAAATCATTAAATGAATTATTATTTAATGTATAATTGTAAGCATGCATGCATATTAATTTATATTCCACCCTTTATTCATCAGTCAATGGCATATATAGTATTTCATCTCTCAATTTTCCACTACAAATTATAGCCATATAAGGTACATTTGATGGGGGGGGGGAAATTAACTAATGAGCTTCCGGATCTGATGGTAGATTAAAAAATGAATCTCATTATTCCTAGTCCAGCACCTTAAGTACTAAACTATGACTCTCTTTTTTTTATAATTTACAAATGACTGGATCTCAGTTCCCATTCTTTCAAGACTGAAATTATTTAAGCAGCCTCCTCACAATTTTATGTCTCTTTCCTTAAACTGAAGAACACCGGGTCATTTAACTTATTTACTATTTATTCCAAAGGCAATAAATCCTAAATAGCTTACCCATGTTACATTGTCCAGAATTTGAATTATTTAAGACCATAACAGGTTATGAGAACACAGTTAATAGTAATATTAGGAGAGAAAGATTAAGTGTAGAGGTGATAGGTTTAAAATTCATTCATAACCTTGATCATAATTACTTATTATGCAAGCATAATAATTTCTTCTTAGAAAATAGCATTTTGTCTACATACATTTTCAATAGGTTTAATAATTTCAAAATTATAAATTATACAAGTATAATTTCAGAAGTTAATCCTGTTTATTTCAGCAGGTTTTACTTCCAGATAAGAGTGTTCAAGATTGCAACTTGAGGATAATTATCTTTCCACTATATTTTATATAAAGTTTTAAAAACCTTTTACAATATGAAATAAAACCACAAAAAGTATGATACATGAGTGGTCTTAATTTTTTTAAAACTTTTTTAAAAAAAGTTTCTAAAACAAAAATTAAACATTAAAAATAGGGGCTTCATACCAAGTATATCTCCTACACTAGAAAGAATCTGCATATGTAACATTTTTGATGAAAATGAGAGTTTAAAAATCAACTAGTATTATATTATATATATTATATATTATATTATATTATTCTAACTAGTACAATTATTTATTACTGGAACATGATACGATATGAAAATTTTCTTACCTTGAATTGGTTTTGTATGCTCTTGGATTTCACAGCGAGCAGTTCCTGTAGCTACATCCCAAACAATTATCTTTCCACTGGCATCAGCAGTAGCCAAACGTAAAGCGTAAGGTGATCCAATATTGTGATGGTAGTTTTCCTTAGCCCATTTAACCTTAAGACAGGTAAGTGAAGCTAGTAGTCATTTAAAGCACTTAAAAGCATTACATAGTTTTTGGATCTCAGATAGTGAAGTTCTTTAGAAATTGAAACAGACTGATTTATGACATTTATAAATTTATAATGCAGAAAATATAATATATTGAAAAATAAAATAAATTTAAAATAAAAAATATTGCTTTCTTAAAATATCAACTAGCCACAAATCTGATCTATATCAGTCCCTCAACTCAGAAGATCTATGCCTGTTGAAACTGAAACGTTAAACAAGTTTTTATATAATTTTTTCTCTTTGTCAAATAGTCCACAAAGGATTAGGTATATTGTAAAACTACATAATGTTTATCTGTTGGAAAACAGAAATCTAAAGAGTGGAAGTAAAGTATCCTGTCTAAATGGAATAGCTGACTAGAATCAAAAATACTCCTCTAAAGAAGTCAGACTGGGAAATACAATTTATTAAAGGTCACTGTTAAAGAGTAAAAGGCAAGTGTGGTTAAAACATCATAAATCATTTTTATGAAGAAACTTGCTTGTATAACAACAAGCATTCTAATGATTCTTTTCAATATACCTTGACTACAGTAGCCTTGTGCTTTTCCAAAACCTGTAAAGTCTGAGCTGTTTTGGAGTCAATCACCAGAATGAGGGAATGGCATCCATATGCAATCAGTCCTTGCCAGCCCCTATATAAATAGTAATTATAATATTAAATATACAAAAAATCATTTTGCTGGATCTTCTTAGAAATTTACGGTATGTTGCTAAAATGATAGAAAAGACAAAGAAAAATGTACTTATTTGTTATTATGCACCAGAAATAATTTTCTTGTATATCCAATCACACTTACAATAAAGAATATTGTACTGTATTGTATTTAGTTCTTGGATAACTCTTAATGTGTTTCAAATTACATTTTTTCCAGGCTTAGAAAATATCCTGATAAAATAACTGGAAAAGGATATTAGCCATAGTTCTTATTTATCAACATTCTTCTTGCAATATCTTGTCCAAAAATCTCCTTCCCTCTTTCACTTTTAATTTCAGGACTTACAAACTTAAAGGTACAGTTGTACCTATAAAGTCATGTTTATTTTTAAGGTATCTTAAATTCTGGAGTAAATGAAGGCTTATACATGAAGTGAACTAAAAAATGACTATAAATATACATATGTGCATATGTAAATAAAGCTGTTCATCAATATTAGGAATGGACCTATATGATAACAATATAATTGTGTTTTTTTTGTAAAAAAATTTATTTTCAATTTTACATTACATTCATAAAAAATACTTCAGATAAAGAGTAAAATAAATTTATACACACAACTTTCGATATTGCTCACCCATTTCCCCCAAACCGCATCCACCCTCTTACCTCTTCTCTCACTTCCCTCTTTCCCTCTTCTTTCTCACTCTCCCCCTCTCCTCCTTCTCCTCAACCTTCCTACTTACTTCTCCCCTTCCTCCTATCTTCTCACTCCGGATGCAGTCCAGGGGAAATGCCCGAGCAATTTCTCTCTCAAAATCAAAACATCAATATATATACAATAAAACTATTTCTACTTATCTGAGCTATTTAACCTTCAACCCCCCCCACCCCCTACCCCCCAGACTTCCCAGAGCCAAGTAAAGGGTTATACAAACATATTAAACATAACCTATTTAAGTTTACTAATTATACAATAACCAAAATCATACTAACCCTTAACTCTCTTCAAACTTTAACATCATAATTTTATAAACAAATCCATTACTCATAAAATAAATGAAACTTTGTAGTTCCATATTTATTCTGAACATATTCTATCCATCTTCTCCATACAATAACATATCTCTCTTGTGAATGGTCCTTTAAATAAGCAGAAATTTTAGCCATTTCTGCTAAATTAGAAACCTTAAATACCCATTCTTCTAAAGAAGGCAGAGAGTTTTTCTTCCAATATTGACCCACCAATAATCTTGCTGCTGTTATTAAATTCAACATTAAAATAGTTTCTTTAGCATCAAAATCCACAAAAATACCCAAAAGAAATAATTATTTTGAATTGAGATGTTTAGTTTTTTCTTTTGTTCTTATCCTCCGTTAATATGCAATACTCAAAGTCTGGATTTGGGATAATATACAATATTGGAAATAAATAAATAAATATCATGCATTATCATTATCAAATGCCATGTATCATCATCATTCTATATTAATATTTTACTTTTATTCATTAAACATGAACCTCAGTGAACTGAACATTCAAATTGGCTGGCACTGATGGTTGACACGGGTTGCTATCTCCTTAAAATATAAGAGGTTCCGAGTAGCGCAGTTTTTTGTAACATTGCTGGAGTTATTGCAGGAAGCTGCAGTTTCTTGATGTGTTTTGCAATTATTATTATTATTTAATTATTGTTATTATTTTCATTACACTAGTTTTCACCAAGAATTTCAAGCCCATCTCATGGCCTTCATTATTAGACAGTGATATAAACACGATGCCAAAATAAAATGAAATCTTCACATAGTCTCCCCCCCTCTCTACCAGAAAATAATTATTTATAATACTGAAAATAACAAAACTTTGGTGAGAGGCAATATTATCCTCCCTTAGATTTTGATCTCTCGGCTGCCATTCCACACTTTTCTTGTTTTCACTCCAACTTCTACAGGATTAATGTACACGACTACGGTGTTTCCAGTCTCTCCATATCATAGCGCAGACCTTTGTGCTGTGTTGTTTAAGCACACGTCTCACATGAAACCTTCAAACAGGCTTATGAAATCATTCAGGTGGTTTCCTTCCTTTTAGCATAAAAAAGGCGCCTTCATACAGTAACCATAATATTCAACCTCTTGGTCACATTTTTTTCAACACTCCATGTCTCCACTATATTACAGGTACAGGGAGAGCCTTGCAAGTACATCCCATTAAGCTTTATAGGATTTCTATGATGATGATTGGTAACAATTCATAATCTGCCTCTTAACTCTCCAAAGCATGATCTTCTATTCTAGAGCGGCTCACAGCCCGTCCACATGCATACCCTAAAATTGCTGTCCCTCCGACGTTTCCTATTTTTTTCTACTTACCAGTCTGCCGCCCCTCTATTCTGAGGGTTAAGTGCCCCAGTGAGGGTCCGAGCCGAAAGTTTGATGTTTACCATGTAAGGCTGCATGGCCGAGAAGAAAACAAAAGGACGAGCGAACTAAAACGGCCGACGTCTGAAACCCAGGAAACACTCTCGTCGGTTGGGGCGCCACTAATCCTTGTCCCTAATTGATCCGACTTGTCCTGCTGGCTCCAGAATTTTGGTTCCGCCGACGCTTACAAAAACGAAACGAAACGAAACGAAACGAGCGAGGGGCAGTTTGGGCGCTTGAATTGATTCTTTTGCGCATGCTCAGCAAAAGAGCTAACCCAAGGCTTCAGGTCGTTTTTCTCTGATTTCTGTTCATGGCTTGAGCTTGTGCGGTCAAAGGATAAACTTTGCTTTCCGTTATTCGAGGGGAAAAGAAAGGAATACATGATTTGCAACACCTGTACAATTAAGATTGCTATTGTCTCTGTGTTGGGAGAATCCAGGCAGGCAAACTCAGGCTGAAATCATATCATGCACAAATTAGAATAAATCCCATTGAACCGATTTTGAAGTTAATTACATAGAACTGTGTTGTTAATTCTTTACCTAGGAGAAAAGCAGTGAATTTGCCAGCTATTTTACTAATCCAAACTAATAAACATAAATTGTCTGCAACAAGTTTATATAAAAAGATGTATTTATTGGGTTTCAGCTTGTTTTTTTTCTCCCAAAGGAGAAATACGTTATTTGAAAGTCACTTTTTTTTCCAAAAGGGAGTGTAGTCATCTAATAACTGAAAGTTCTGGATCTGGTGGAATTCTTAATATAACAAGTGGTTATTTCTCTGCTGTTCGATGTGTTATTTGCTGTGGTTTCATATTTTTGTATGTATGCATACTGTACTATGTATAAATGTTATATAATTCTTTACATTTTTAATATATACATATTTTACAAAAGAAAGTATGAAATAAATAAGTATAAAATAAGTATAATGTAGCACTTGAGGAAAAAAAGCACAGACTCCAAGAATTTCCCTGATAGTGAAAAGAGAGAGGTTGTCACAATTAAGACTACTATGCAAATGGCCGAAAATTTAAGCCCCTGAAATGATTGCTTGCTGAAGCAAATGTTGATAAAAAAGCTTTTAAATTTCCAATTGCTTCCCATTGAGATACTGGAGATTATCAATGTCACCAAGACAGATTTTGCAAAGCATGAAAACAAAAATATTGTTGGTGTGGGCTAAATGATATTCATTTTTTTAAACAGAAAAATGTGTTAAAATCTGTTCTTCCATAAGAAGGGTATGCAACTTGCAGCCTCAAGACCATACAAAATTCATTTTCACAATAATAAAGGTTATCTTATCTTAATATCCTTGATTATGCCATCCAACCTTGATGATGTATTTTAATGTCATGAAAATTGTCATGAGAATAATAATAGTGGTACTTTTTATATTAAAATGAATGTTTTTATTAGATGAAAATGTTTTTTTTTAAGAATTTAATGTCATGAGCATTTCTGTATGGTATCCTTAGGATGCACAGTTCAGTTCACAATTGAATCTTATTATCCTTACTCTGAACTGAGAACTTTTTACATATTTACCATTTTTCTGTAATTGTCATTGAAGTGATTATCCACAATGGTCTATCAGCTGCCATTATCACTTCTCAGCCTTTAGACCAGGGGTGTCAAACTACCAGCCCGTGGGCCAGTTTCATCATAGCAAAGCCACACCTACTGCATTGCTGGCAATGAAAAAAGTCACGATATGTCATGATACGTCACATGACGTGGCGAGTTTGACACCTGTGCCTTAGACTAAGATCAAGTATAGTGTGAATGTAGCTGCTATTATTAATTTGGTATTTATAGAAAAAAATTAAGAAATATGTATCTAAACTGTAAAAAAAAATCAGCATTTTTGTAACTTCAGGTTTGTATGATTTGAAAGCAAATTCAAAACTAATATTAGGTCCTCTCTTCCTAATAGGAAAAGGCTGGTTTGACCTTTGATTGAAGATTATAAAAAGACCAGATAGCTGAGGAGTATAGCAACTTTATGGGAGAAGTCTCCTGCTTATGTGTGATTCTTAGCACTCTATGGCCAGTGGTTTGAATAATTAGTGGAAAGCCAGAGTCTGGTCTTTTTTGTATGGCCTTGTTTCAATAAACTGTTTACAGAGATGACTGGTCTGCTTCAACAGACTAGTGTAAAACAAGGTGGCAGCAATTTTGTAAAATTTAGACATTTGGGAAATAATACTGCACTGCTGTAATTGGCAGATTTAATCCTTTAGATGAAAAGAAACACATTTTCAAAATGCAGCTTTGGAAAAAATATAGAATTATTCTGTTTCCTAGACAACATGTTATTGTCTAGAGATACACAGCCCTTTGTGTTGACTTTGTTATATAAACTTCTGAAAAGTGTTATATGCAGTATGCACCTAGACATTTGCTTTGTGCAAGGTGGCTTTCCTCTTTTAACACAGGTATACAACCATAGCAATGAAAGGCAATTCAAAAGAAAGTAATCCATGTTAATTTAAAATCCTTCTGGGGAACTACCAGAAGACTGGAAAAGAGCTGATGTAATTCCCATCTTCAAAAAAGGAAAAAAATAGAAACTACAGACCTATCAGCCTGACCTTGATATCTGGGAAGATTCTGGAAAAGATAAACAACGAATCAACAATCAGAGGCAAACAAAGTCATGACTAAAAGCCAACAAGGGTTTGTCAAAAACAGATTATGCCAGACAAATCTTATTGCATTCTTTGACCAAGTGACAAAATTAGTGGACCAGAGGGATGCTGTGGATATAATTTACTTGGACATCAGTAAAACATTTGATAAAGTAGATCACAACCTACTACTTGATAAGATAGAAACATGTGGGTTAGACAGCATCACCACCAGATGGATTCGTAGCTGGCTGACCGGCCGTACTCAGCGTATGGTCCTCAATGGAACAGCATCTACATGGAGGGAAGTGTGTAGTGGGGTGCCCCAAGGCTCTGTTCTAGGCCCAGTGCTCTTCAACATCTTCATCAATGATTTGGATGAGGGGATAGATGGGGAGCTCATCAAATCTGCAGATGAAACCAAGCTGGCAGGAATAGCCAACACTCCAGAAGATAGGCTTAAGATACAGGAGGATCTGGACAGACTTGAACACTGGGCGCTATCTAACAAAATGAAATTTAATGGTAAAAAAAGTAAGGTTCTACATTTAGGCAAAAAAACCCCCAAATGTACAGGTATAGTATAGGTGGTACCTGGCTCAATAGTAGCAACTGTGAGAGGGATCTTGGGAGTCCTAGTGGACAATCACTTAGATATGAGCCATTTTACAATGCTTTGGTAAGGCCACACTTGGAATACTGCATCCAGTTTTGGTCACCACGATGTAAAAAAGATGTTGAGACTCTAGAAAGGATACAGAGAAGAGCAACAAAGATGATTAGAGGACTGGAGGCTAAAACATATAAGGAACGGCTGCTGGAATTGGGTATGTCTAATTTAATGAAGAGAAGGACGAGGGGGGACATGATAGCAGTGTTCCAATATCTCAGGGGCTGCCACAAAGAAGAGGGAGTCAAGCTATTTTCCAAAGTGCCTGAAGGCAGGACAAGAAGCAACAGATGAAAACTAATCAAGGAGAGAAGCAACCTAGAACTAAGGAGAAACTTCCTGACAGAACAATTAACCAGTGGAACAAAGTGACTTCAGAAGTTGTGAATGCTCCAACGCTGGAAGTTTTTAAGAAGAAACTGGACAGCCATTTGTCTGAAATGGTATAGGGTTTCCTGCCTGAGCAGGTGATTGGACTAGATGACCTCCAAGGTCCCTTCCAACTTTATCATTATTAATATTATTGTTGTTGGTGTTGTTGTTGTTATTATTATTATTATTATTATTATTATTATTAAAAGGTAGGAATTTGGTTTCTCCATGAAAAGCTATTTAAACAGGAGGTTTCCAAAAAAGCAAAAGATAGCTTTACAGAAAGATTTTCCAAGTTATTCCAACTACAAGGAAGAAGAATATTGCTGACATTCACAGGACAATCAGTTAACACAGAGAGAACTAGCTTCATATGGAGAAACTGTTATGTGGTCACAACTCTTTTTTAAACATGGAAACTCGGAGACTATATGAAATATGATAAGATAATAATACATAGCTAGCATGATGGCTTGTGTCTTGCTCAGATTTTCTTTTGATATAGCATACAGGTAATCTTATGATTTATGATCTGTCACTTAACAATCATTTAAAGTTACAATGGACCTCCCTGGGGTACTTATGTCCTGGATTCAAAGTTCTCATGTGGCTAACTAATATGGCCATATGACTGCACTTTGGGTGCTCAGCAACTAAGCCATTTTCAGCGTCTCACAGTAACGTAACCATATTTTATGATGTTACTGAAAACCAGCATTTACTTCCAGTTTTTGTCAAAATTGCAGCCATAGAGCAACATTGATTTAACAACCATGGTATTCACTGTTGCAAAAATGATTGTAAAATCAGATTGGTGGGTGATCTGATTTATGGCCATCATAAGCTACAACCATGATGGGCAGGGTCCATTGCAGTTGTAAGTCAAGGACTACCTATACACCAATTCCATGTGTCATTAATAAGCCGATAGTCACATGGATGGAAATTTGCATGTTGTGGCAAGAGATTTTCACTATGTTGCACAATTTTACAGTTAATTCTTTCTTAATTCAGTCCAGATATGCAGAGGAAAAAAAGATTTTCTGGATCACGTTGAAAAGGTCAGAACCCCCTGTAAAGCCACATAGTTCAAGTTCACCATAGTATCACTGCAGAACCTACAAAATATCTATGTTTATTTTTTATTCTTACATTAAATTCAGAAAAGTTGCACATATCCATCAATTATTCAGAACCATGAAAAAATGGACTACGTTCAATTTAAATGAAAATAAGTGGCATAGGGTGGAAGTGCTGTATTTCCTGATAAAAACTCCTGGAAATAAGAAGGTTAAAAATGGCTCATATCCATTTCTGGAAAATGGTAATCTCTAACAATAATTAAATATTCACTAAAATTCTTGTATCATTTTTAAAGTTACATTTTCAAAAAAAAGAATCAAAATATTCATCTTGTATAAATTGAGCCACCTTATCATTAGTCCAGCCCTAACAATCTATTAAAGTGAATTATGTTTAAAGAAATTAGTTGATAATTTTTTATTTCCTTGCAAGAATTTATAACCTTATGGTGCAATTTCCAATTTGTCTATTTTCTTTATGTTTCAGGAATCAATC